TCCTCTGGTATCCTATTCCCACTGACTGATGATACCCGCTAAAGGAGAAAACTAGAGTACAAGATGGTGAACTGTTCAAATTGTCCTTTGTCTGTAGTCCCGGATACCCACTAAAGGAGAAATCTAGAGTACAAGATGGTGAACTGTTCAAATTGTCCTTTGTCTGTAGTCCCGGATACCCGCTAAAGGAGAAATCTAGAGTACAAGATGGTGAACTGTTCAAATTGTCCTTTGTCTGTAGTCCCGGATACCCGCTAAAGGAGAAATCTAGAGTACAAGATGGTGAACTGTTCAAATTGTCCTTTGTCTGTAGTCCTTAAGTAATCTGTCCTTGTTATTGTTACATCTTCAGAAGTACAAGAGATGTTTCAGATCAAAGTGGGAAAGCATAGCAAAGATCAGTTTCATATATAAAGATGTTTGGCACCAAGATCCCTCTCTTGTTCAAAACAGATGATTTCAACTTTGCATTTGCAATATAGTTTACCAGTGTACAAGGAAAGAAATGTCCCAGCAGGGCACCTTTCCACATTTAGCCAAACATTTATATAGTTCTGGTGCAGTTTTGGTTGGAAAATGATCTAAAAACTTGGTAAGGACAAAGAATATCATTTTTTGTGCAGATGAATAAAAATATGTACATGTTACACTATATGCTTAGTTCTCTCTAGGAGCAAAAAGATAGAACATCACATTATAATCACTGAACAAAGTGTCAGGGTGATCTAGCCGTGGTGATATCATTCCTCCAGACATATTGACAAGGAAAGTGAAGTGCAAATCTGATGAAATTAACCAGTAAAATTACCTTTGTTTTTTCTATTATTGGACCCACCCTACCTATGTATTTAGTTAAATATTGTACATATTTGATCAGTGCTTTATCTGCAGTGTACATCTAAAGATATAAACTTATGCATATTTTTGTCAGTATTCGAAATTTATGTTTTTCACCTTAAATAACACTGTTTAGGCTATTAGCAAGTCAGCTTTAAGTTATAATCAAATAACTGACATTTTGCTGTAGGTGAAGAAGCTGTGGACTGGAATTTAATTAATTGCATCACAAATTATAATTTTAATAAAGAACTAGACCTATTGCATGTCTGCGTATATTTGGACCGGTTGCTGTGTTAAAAAGGACAGACATTTTTTTATATTTCAATGCAACTCATAGCACTGAAACAGTGGCCTGATTATGTAGGACGTACATATAGTGTTATATAATGTTAACCATCACATCAGACATTTTAATTTGTAATATAAACTTCAACTACACAATCAAAAAATGGTTCAAATATAACATTTTACCAAAAATGTCACAGGTATCTACATGCTTAAGCATAAGATGCAGGTAGGCCTAATGTTTTGGGAAAAAATATTGCAAAGAAATTTAAGAGAAGTAGGAGCAAAGTTCTGAGCTAAATTTCAGACAGGAATGTCATGTGCTAATACATAACTGGGTCTGAAGTCCACATAATGATGATAAGATTTTTAAATATTTCCTGATCAATCTGTTCGGATGAAGTCGTCTGCTGAAAGATCGACGTAAAGCCCACCGAGTATATAAATATTCCGGAAACTTAGCCCAGTCATCGTTTTGTTGTTAGAATCAACCTTACGTCCAATTGACACTTCCGTATGAAAATGGCGATACTTCACCGAGCGTTGTTTACCTGGTTCATTGTACTAGTATTCCTAATACTAATGGTTTTGAAGCTGGACAAGAAAGTTGACTGGAACTGGTTTCTTATATTTACCCCCATGTGGCTATTTGATGCCGTGGTAACAATTTACATAACATTTAAAATGATCGTTCACTGTAAAAATGGCTACGACCGAACAGATTTGTCGATGACACGAAAAGTATATTACATGTTCGGAGTATTTCTGAAAATATCCTTCCAGATTTTGCTATGTATGCGACTAGAATACTACCAGATGATACGGTTGTTATATGTCATGGTGCCACTCTGGGTCCTGATGCTACAGACATTGATAGATGTGTCAATAGGTCTACTTCGAAATGCAAGATGATATAAGCCAGAACCCTTTAGTGCTATGTTCACCTCTCGTGGTGGTAAACTGGACATTGCGATCATTCGTGTTGTTTCTACGTTAGTGAAAAGGGATGTGAACACGATAGAATCTCGAGGAGCTGTGGACATTGCGAGCATTCGTGTTCATCGTTAGTGAAAAAGGATGTGAACACGATAGAATCTCGAGGAGCTGGACTCTTCCTGGTTACATATTTCCGAGAGATCCTACGGGTATGATGTGCTGTTGGTAGCAGATATCATTTGCAGATTTCTCCACTATATTGAAGATCATCTCTAAAAATGATAGAACATCTGTCACGCCCATACAGTTTGCTGAGGACATAAGATGCTGAACTTGTACCAACAGTTAAAACCAAATATAGTTTGTTGACAGCAAACTGACCCACCACTTGCCACCTGTACAAGTGGCAAGTCCTGGTCATGGTCGAACCATAGCAGCTTTCATATTTGTGTTCTTTTGAACAATAATTAAAATTATAATACATCGGTTGTGTACTAATATATGTTGCATTGATTATTGACTTGTAGAATTCTTGGAAGTTTTCAAAACTATATAAGGATACATTTTGTATTTATGATAGTAGTATGTCCTAATTTAACAAAATGAATCCGTTCCTTTTACTGAAGGTTTTGATTATATTTCATAATTTGCAAGTTTCATAGTCTGTTTAAGTGTATATATTGCACTTAGGAAAAACTATGAATAAAGTTCATGATAAAATACAGATTTGTGATATTTTACCATGTGGTCAGATAAAACCGCAAAATGATTTTCCTTAATAAACCTTGATGCCGATCTCTTTCAGCTCTACAGCTTGTTTTTCTTTTCCCTTTGCCCCTTAATAAGTAAAACTCTTTTGAACACTATAAAAATGTATGTGTACTTGGTATTGCTGATCACCAAATCAAACTTGTAAGGACAAAGAGGCAATGGAATTGGTGGGAGATCCCGTCATTACATGACCTTCTTAAAAAGTTACTGATTTGGCTTGGACTGACTGACACTGATTATCTAAACAATTTAAAGGTTCCTTGACAATGAAGCAGTTCTGAAGAAATAGTGGTAACAGTTTGTAGAAAAAAAAAATTAATTTAACATATGGCTGTTTGTTAACAGGAATGAATGCAAATGTTACACTGGGATTGGCTGTTCTCAGTCACTGTTCGTTCGCATACATGCAAGGGAAAAGACCAGATACAAACTTTTAAAGTTTTCACCTTTGAATATATTCCAAGAACTGTGACATGCTGTGTTGGTGCTAAATTTTGTATAGTCATAAAATAATTATCTCCCTTATCTTTATTCATACATGATAAAAAATTGCCCCATCCAATTTCTAGTTCTTTTAATTACCTCATAAATCTGACTAAATCCATCTCTATCAATTACTGTAACCATGATAACAGAAATGTCACAGCCATCAGCCATTCATGATCTTCATTTATTCAATATGTTCATATGTAAGACTCCTTTATGGGACATTCAGTAACATAAAGCAACCAAATCACAAAAGTGTCTACAAACAAGAGTCTACTGATTGCCCTGTTTTCTTGTTCCTGACTTTTTATAACAGCATTGAGTAAAATTAGTTGTAACAATCAGAAGAGTGATGTTTACAGTAACTGTATTGACTTCAAAATATTGAATTTGGCTTGCAAAATTTGGAATCATGCTGAAGTTATCAAAGTTTCATGATGATACTATTGTTAGTTTCCAGGAAAATTCAGTACAAGTAACTCTGATTTCAAAATCCAAAATGGTTCCTGGCAGCCATATTGAATAATAGATCATACACAAAAGGCAAGATGCATAACAAGGGCCCAAAAACTGATAATGTTGGATGAGTTACAATAGTATCATTTATAAACTAACAATGCCAAAATCCCAAATGGCTGATGGCAGCCATCTTGCGATTCAGATTATTCTCCAAAATATGGCAGGTATAATAAGGACCTATAGGTGCCTGAGATGAAGAAGGACAAAGTTTGGAAAAACAAATGATCTGGGCTCATATTAAGTTCTTAGCTAAAGGTCTAATTGTTGAAACAATTTCTGATTTATCAAAAGGTCTGTAGTTGTTATATTGGTATGCAAGTTAATAAGATGAAATCAGACTTGAGTGCGTGATAAGACATGACCTTGATCCATATTCAAGGTTAAAGAGCTCAAATTTCCTTAAAGATGCTAAATAACTTTTTTTCTTTTTCATTAACCAAAACAAATCCTGTCTTCTTTGGCTAGTAGATCCTTTGGATGATCATCTAATGCGACACCTTCTGTAGATAGTAAGGTCATGACCCCTATTCAAATCTATCTTCCTTAAAAGGATTAACACAGTCTATATGAATAATGTTTAGGTTCGAGTGTCATAAGCTTGATAGTTTTTGAAGTTGTGTAAATAAATTTGGCTTAGCCAATGATATGAGATGTATTTGTGAGAAGTATTGTATATTGGATGAGTGATACAGGTCCATCAGGCCTGTTGTAAGGATGGAATACTTCCAAATGAAATGTAAATTGAAATACAAGGTCAAAATTACATTGTATTTTCAGTTATAAGATGTTGAAATAGGTATGAAAAATCTACAATGGACTAGTCAACATCGCTGACTTTATTCTTTATGTCAAGCAATAAATTTAATACTGTACATATAATTAGTCTCCAGAATGAACTAGACTTTATAGCAGCAGAGATAACAACTAATGTAATGAATGAAGGAGATAAAGTCGCAAGATTTTTGAGATCTTTTGTTTTATGGCGAGGACGTGGATGCAAGTCTATGACACCAATGGTCTATTGGTGTGGTGTCCATATCAACAAAAGTCTGGAAGATGATGAAAAACTGACCCAAAATCTTTACAAAAATGTCCAAATGAATTCAAAGCTTCAGAAGTGAAATATTACCCAATGAAATGAAAACAGAATAAGTGAAGGCACCTGAAGTATCAAGATTGTTTTATTCAATATATTTCAATAATTAGATATGGTTTGTAGAACCATGAACATTAATATACAGCTAATATGGTTGAACACGTAACTTGACTGTAGTATCTCACTACATACATGACTTTGTGTTTATGCACACATATCGGGTTAAATAGCATCTATCTTTCAAAAACATTCCCCAAAGATAAAAAATTATGTTAATAAGGCTTAGCTTCTGTTTAAACATAATAACTCATTTTTTTGTATTTTAATCTTTCTAACTTTCACAAATTTATTTCTGGTGTAGCTGAGAAGTGCGGGAAAAAATTATCGAGATTCCTTATGCAATTCTGTTAATTCAAGTTAAGGTTTTCTGTATTGGAGAACGATACAAACATAAATAGTATCTAATTATTTCAAAAGTGCATAAATATAAGAAATGTACAACCTGTTTAAAGCATGAAGAATTATACATCAATAGTTGATTTTTGTTAAAAAAGCAAAATATCCCTTGAAAATAACAAAATGGCAGTAAAAACTAGTAAAAATTAAAATGCTGTACGATACGTGTTTGTTGGATGTGTACACACATTATCAGCATTAATCACATACTATAAAACTACACATTGATTCCAAAATGAGACATGTATTTAACAAAATCATCATTATGTTCAATCTGAAATTTACAACAACAAAAATACTGAAAGCAACACCAAATTTACTTGTCAAAGGACTTTTTTGATTCATTTAACATGATATTCATTTCATAGTATACCCATCATTTCTGACACTATGCCTTTATTATTTATCATTAATTATCTAACCTCTTTACAATGCGTACCAATTAGAAATAACTTCAAAAAGCATTCACATATTTCAGCTCTAACTTTAATAAATTGAAGACCACACAAATATTATTAATTTTTCATGGTAATTTTTTTCTTTGTTTAGTAGACTGGTACATCATTTAGGTTGAAAAAAAAGTTGACGCATTTGATACAGGGGTATCCAACAGTATTTAGCATTGCTGTTATCATTAACTGAAATTCAAATTATTCGGCTTCTGTTTAAAAACTGATGTAAAACTAGTTGTTTTTATTTTCAATCTCCTCTTCTTCACTGTCTGAAAATCCAACCTCTTTCAAAGCTTCTGCTCTCTCCCTTTGGGACTTGTCGAAAAAAAAGTCAAACGAAAATTGCTTGCGATTTGTTGGACACAGAAGATATTCCTCAGATTTCTCTTTGTCGTAGCGTCGTACCTGAGCAACAAAGTCCGCTCCCTCACCAGAAATGTCCAATCCAGTCACATAATTAAACAATTCCTCAGGGGTTTTTACCTGATGAACACCACCAGAACGGAAAAACTGAAATAGGAAAAAGAAATTTTTAAACTACTCAGAAATTATTTGCTTTATAATTACAAAAGATTCCAGCAGGATTTTAAGATGAACTTCTAAACTGCTACACAAACCACTCAACGGAAATCTTCAAAGAAAATTTGACACTTCTAGACTTTCTGTGATGTCGCAGTCACAATTAACAAATGATGAAAGCATACAGCTGTTTCTTGGCCATCTTGTTACTACTAACAGAGTATTTCGATCTGTCTCAAAATACAAGGGAGATTCGGGAACAAGTGAATCAAATATAATGAAGACCCATCTAATATCACAATTAAGTGTTGATCTCAAGAATTTTTTCTGACCAGTCTATAAATAATACAGGAAGCTAACCACCAATGTGATCAATGGTTTATATAATATTAAACGATATACAACAGGATTGCAGCTGCCATACATTTTGTTGGAAATCCACAACTTACCTTGGAAACATTTGTACAATCGCGATGCAGGAACTCCATCGCCAGTGGATGTGTAGTGTCAACTGCCTGACTAACATCAATCACCCAAACTTTTTCTTGCCACCAAAGCATGTTGTATTCACTCAAATCAGCATGTACCAAGTTGCACTTGTGCTGCATTGTCTTCATAAACTGTAGTGGAGATTATTATTATGTAAAGTAAAAACATGATGGCAGGGTCATTAAACATGATTTTTAAACATTAAACAAAATTTTCAACTATTAAACAACATATTCATCATAACATAATTTTTAACCATTAAATGTAATTTTACCTATTAAACATAAGTTTTAACCATAACTATATTTTCAACAATTGAACAAAATTTCAATCACTAGCATAATTTTCAACCACTGAACAAAATTTTAACCATTAAACATTATCTTTAGCCATTAAATGTGGATCTTAACCATTAATTATATCTTTGACCATTAAATATAATTTTTGATCATTTAACAATTTTTCTTGCCTAACCACTACAAATTTCGAAACTACAAAAGTTACACCATATTACTGGTAACCATCTGCAACAATGTCATGTTTGCCTAACCACTACAAATTTCGAAACTACAAAAGTTACACCATATTACTGGTAACCATCTGCAACAATGTCATGTTAACATTGGTTTATAAAGACCTCTTTCATTTTGATGTCATGATTGACAGATTTCTAGAGGGAACACAGAAGGTAATTTCAAGCTTATCCTTATTATCTGTTCACTTGGATATATTAACATTCATCTTTTATTATCCAGTAATCAACCCAACCCTTCAGCAGGAATTCATTGGCCTCCTTTGGCTTATAGCATGATAACAAGAGACCCATGGGCCTTAACGGTCATCTGACATAAAATACAAGATTTCAAATTTTGAACTTGAGAAGAAATCGAAAATGTGTTTTCAAGATGACGGCCATGTTGGATTTCGGACCAACCCAAAATTAACAAACTTTGGTCAGGATCATTTCCGGTAAGTTTCAGCTCAATGAGACATGTAGAACTTGAGAAGAAGTTGAAAATGTTTATGCCGGTAAAAGGTGATCGCAATGGGTCATCAGACCCTTCGTTCAGATGACCTAAAAATGTTATCCCCAGATATACTGAAAAAGGGACCAATGTTTACCCCAGATATACTGACACAGAAACTAATGTTTACCCCATATATACTGACACAGAAACTAATGTTTACCCCAGATATACTGACACAAATGTTTACCCTAGATATACTGACACAGAAACTAATGTTTACCCCATATATACTGACACAAATGTTTACCCCAGATATACTGACACAGAGACCAATGTTTACCCCATATATACTGACACAAATGTTTACCCTAGATATACTGACACAGAAACTAATGTTTACCCCATATATACTGACACAAATGTTTACCCCAGATATACTGACACAGAGACCAATGTTTACCCCATATATACTGACACAAATGTTTACCCTAGATATACTGACACAGAAACTAATGTTTACCCCATATATACTGACACAAATGTTTACCCTCGATATACTGACACAGACACTAATGTTTACCCCATATATACTGACACAAATGTTTACCCCAGATATACTGACACAGAAACTAATGTTTACCCCAGACATACTGACACTAATGTTTACCCCAGACATACTGACAAAGAAACTAATGTTTATCCCAGATATACTGACACAAATGTTTACCCCAGACATACTGACACAGAAGCTAATGTTTACCCCAGATATACTGACACAGAGACCAATGTTTACCCCAGATATACTGACAAAGAAACTAATGTTTATCCCAGATATACTGACACAAATGTTTACCCCAGATATCCTGACACAGAGACCAATGTTTACCCCAGATATACTGACACAAATGTTTACCCCAGACATACTGACACAGAAACTAATGTTTACCCCAGATATACTGACACAGAGACCAATGTTTACCTCAGATATGCTGACACTGACACAGATTCTAATGTTTACCCCAGATATACTGACACAAATACCCCAGACATACTGACACAAATGTTTGATATACTGACACAGAAACTAATGTTTACCCCAGATATACTGACACAAATGTTTGACACAAATGTTTACCCCAGATATACTGACACAAATGTTTACCCCAGATATACTGACACAGAAACTAATGTTTACCCCAGATATACTGACACAAATGTTTACCCCAGATATACTGACACAGAGACCAATGTTTACCCCAGATATACTGACACAAATGTTTACCCCAGATATACTGACACAAATGTTTACCCCAGATATACTGACACAGAAACTAATGTTTACCCCAGATATACTGACACAAATGGTTACCCCAGATATACTGACACAAATGTTTACCCCAGATATACTGACACAGAAACTAATGTTTACCCCATATATACTGACACAAATGTTTACCCCAGATATACTGACACAAATGTTTACCCCAGATATACTGACACAGAAACTAATGTTTACCCCAGATATACTGACACTAATGTTTACCCCAGATATACTGACACAAATGTTTACCCCAGATATACTGACACAGAGACCAATGTTTACCCCAGATATACTGACACTAATGTTTACCCCAGATATACTGACACTAATGTTTACCCCAAATGTACTGACACTAATGTTTACCTCTAGTGTTTGGCTATAAGCATCCTCTAGATCCTCTACAGACATGACAGCATCCTTTAGTTTTGGGGCTGGTTTCTGTTCCTCCCCAATAAATGACATAACAAGTATATGTTTCCTCTGAACCTGTACAACTGGACACTGCAAGTCAAATTTCTTCATTCTGGAAATCAAATTAGCAACAATACAGACAATTAGACATCAGATGACACTAACAAAGTTTTTCACTCCTCTTGGATTTTAAGCCAGATTATTAAGCTGGCAAACACAAACAGACTCATTGCTTAGTATTAATGATGTGCATCCTCTCATCTCAAAGCATGAGACAAGGAAATCTCTCCATAGTACAAGTATGTATTTTATATTGACAATAATTTATAATCAGATGTTCTAATTCCATCTTTTTGTAATGTTATCTGCCCTTGTTTTGATTGTCGTGTTGTTTGTTTGCGAGAGAAATGCCATGAGAATACAACACAAACTAATGCTGTAACAATCAATATCTGTTTACAAGAGCAGATAACTCTGCTTTAAAAAACGACAGAATACAATAAAACCTCTTCACAAGAGCAGATAACTCTGCATTATAAAAAAAAAAACAGAAAACAATCATACCTGTTCAAATTGGCTGCCTCTTTCATTGCCCACATTTTTATGATTTTTCTGGGATTCTGTTTTTTGAAGTCATCTCTTGAAAATCGGTGGTCTCCATGTATATATTTCTCTCTATTTTTGAATTCATTGAGTGTGGTTTTAAACACCTTGATTGCAACTTCTTTTGGCATTGCTTCGCCAGCAATCCTGTGTCAAAGAAAAATAAAAAGTATTACCTCTAGTCCATACACATTCCATCAACTCAGTGTATATACAGTGTATGAGATGGTAATGAATCAATACAACTTTTTGGTTGTGCTATAATCCTATATGCTGAAGTTGAAAAGAGTGGGACAATTTTTTTAGAGGCAACAGGTCGAATGGGTGATCTTCTGTACATACATACTATAATTTTATTTCATCACCCTGTCCTCCTATATAGCCACATCCAATATCAAGAAGATTACAGAGTATTGGTTTCTTTAGAGAAATTCTTTACATTAAAATACATGGTTGTTTATTACTTACTCTCCACCGTAGGCATGAAAGACGACTGATTCTTTGCCTGTACTGATGCTGCCACTGACAGAGTCCAGGACAAGGCTGTTCACCATCTTGTACAGCAATAAACGTGTTCGTGGATCCATTGCTTGCTCCTTTAATGTAAAACATATATCTATATTTTTTTAAACCCTTCAAAATTTTTATTTTGAAATTGTAGGGAAAGTCGATGTCAAGGTTAGACAGACTGGAGAGCAACTTATTACCTTTACTTCTGTTTAAACCTGTCAGATTAATTACACGAACTCTCATGGGAATTTATAATATCAAAGATGAGCTAAGTTTAAAAGTTCATTAGAATGAAATGTAACAAAATGGATGTTTGGACATCTTAACACGTTAACTTCACCTTAGACTTCCTAAGACATTATTTATGTTTAATGCTAAGACCAAAGATCAATTAATTACCAAAACATAACTCAGAAGTATTTAATAATGTTGACATACCCAATGATTAACTTAAACTTGTTTATATATATCATACGGAACACTTACCGCTGTAGAATGTTCCTTTTTCTCATGAAGTTTCTGACTTCTCTTATTTTCTGCGATGGAGTGGAGTTTAAGTTTATTGTATACATGATTAGGTAGTTTCATGTCCATTCCCTCACCATCTCCAACTTCGAACTCTGGTGGAAACTACAACCAATTCATAAGTACTCATTCATGTGAGTCAATATTAATGATGGAATATTCAATGATTAATAACAGCATGCTTATTGCTAGTCAGCAAAAAATATTTTGCTGTCTTAATGTCAGGCCCAATTTTTGGGAAAAAAAAAAAAAAATCAAAATCCAGTGAATTCTATCTTCACTTCTGATAAGTACTTTGAGATCCTGTTAGATGCATGTGCATCCCTATCATCCATGTTGTGCTTTGTTAGCTATTTGACCAAAGGAACCTTGTGACCTCTACATAAATTAACTTTCTTTCAACTTTTACATCAAGTTCGAGATTGGAAAATTTCTTGATCATGTCGTTTAAGGGATCTTAAATAAGATCTGATTCTATGACATGGAAATAAAGAGGATTATACTAAGACAGAAATACATAATACCCTACTCAGTACAACAAAATACAGAAAAAGCAGATCAACAAATAAATCAATTTCACATTTAAAAAACCTTTTGTTAATTCATCAACGATTCAGTGACAAAATTAACTAAAATCATCGAAATCCAGGGCTCTTGATCTGCCAGATTTGATGCCGAATTCCCAATGCAAAATAGTATCTTTTTTTCCCAATTTAGACCCCAAGTTTTCCCAATTCTAAGGAAAACACAGCTATTTTTCCCAATTCTGAGGGCCCCAGGGTATGTATGCAACAGTAAATGAATACCCACATAACTGATTCCACTACCTCCATAAATTCATGAATATGGCCATAAATTTGATATGTTATAGAACAAAATACGCTATATTTGAGCTCTTAAAAAACATTGTCATAGACAATTACCTCCATCATTCTAGACGCATTCCTTCGGCCACATACAGAGGAGTCATGTTTGGTGATCATATCTTTTCCCTTGCCTGATGTCCCTTGGCTATTAAATGTTGGCGGCTTTTCATCTGTAAATCAATAATAGGGTTTAAGCAGGGTTGAACACCTAACAGTATGTTGTTACCCTGTGCATAACACCCAATGTGCCATCCCCCCATCTCCACAAACTTTTTAATTAAGATTTTATTGAACATAAATTCATTTTCATATATACGTTTAACAATAAAATAGATGCTGATATAGTATGTAGCTTTGCTACCTGAGACAAAAATATTAACTCGAGGAAACCTACGTACCAATCAAGATAAGGTTGCTGTGCTGTCCATTAGAAGTATACAAACATCAATATATAGACACACACCAGTATTGTGTATAGATTAATAATTTGTAGGTCACAAAATGAACTAAGAATTGAAGTAGGTTTACATGCAAGACAGTAAGTGATGAAGCTACCAATGGAAATGCAGCCATTTTCTCTACATGGAAGAATGAAAACTCTATCCAATGTTACATCTCAAACCTACCCCATTTCATTTCCACTTCATAATCTTCGTCCAAATTGGGGACAACCTCATCTTCTTCATCTCGATAAGCTGGGTGTAATGTTCTGTAGTTCTCAAAGGATAACGACACTGAAAATCAAAGGAATAAAATGTTACTGCAGCTGTTCTATAATCAGTTAAAAAATACTGTAATGAAGTTTATCTCAGCCTAGATAATTATTATTCGTGAAATTCACAGTAATAGAGCCTTGTAATTATTCTGTAATGCTATAGAACTAACAGTTTGTAGTATATTGTATCATAATACACCTTAATACCATCCATATCTAATCGCAATCATACTTCTCAATTTCTTTACCAATCACAAGCAAATAAATTGTTTAATCAGGAACATAAAGTTGCTGTAATGGTGTCTAGTCTGTTCCCTATGACAGACTGTCAATAATGAATCATTCATTTTAATCGAAATCAACTTTTAATATGCATAAGAGAAAGTAATGTAAATTTACGCACTGAATATCTTGTGGCATTTATGGTAGTTATTAATGACAGAATTTTGCCAGAAAACACATCTAGCATGCAATATGATGTTTGTAATCAACGCTCTGTCATTTACATCCATAATAAAAGCCACAATATGGCAATTCAATGCTTACTATCAATTTCAAATTGGGGTTCTATTTTAAATATATATATTGATATTGAAAAGGAAATAGAATAACTAAAAGATGATCACATGACATCTGTGAACAAGAGATTCCAGAGGGATCTTGGCGCCCACCATTTGAGGATCTGTTTTCAGTTCTTGATGATTTGTTTATTTTTTTTTTGTTTGTTACAGTTGTTGTAAACGTTCATGAACTGGTCTTCATTGAATGTACTCAATGATGGCACAAGATACTTTTATTAAGCACCTATTTGCAAATATCATTTGAAAAATTCCCAAAGTATTATTAGATAGCAGTCAGTTACAGGTGGATAATGGACAATATGCTTGTGCTGTATTACTGTCGACATCCAAGATGGCTGCCTGTGGGCCACCTTGATTTCAAATCAGTCCAAAAAAGGTACAAAGCACAACTAGGGACCAAGGGAAACCAATATCTATGAAATATCAGAAGGATCCATCCAGTACTTCCTCAGATATAGCAGTAACAAGATTTTACTCTCAAAATCCAAGATGGCTGCCTGTCAGCCATCTTGATTTCGGATCAGTCCAAAAAGGTATAATGCACAACTTGGAACCAAACGGAACCTGCATATGAAATTTGAGAAAGATCCATCCAGTACTTTCCAAGAAATAGCAGTAACAAACTTTTACATTCAAAATCAAAGATGGCTGCCTGTCGGCCATCTTGAATTCGAATCAGTCCAAAAAAGGTACAATGCACAACTAGGGACAAAGGGGAAACTGCATATGAAATTTGAGAAAGATCCATCCAGTACTTTCTCAGAAATAGCGGTAACAAACTTTTACATCCAAAATCCAAGATGGCCACCTGTCGGCCATCTTGAATTCGAATCAGTCCAAAAAAGGTACAATGCACAACTAGGGACCAAAGTGAACCTGCATATGAAATTTGAGAAAGATCCATCCAGTACTTTTCCAGAAATAGTGGTAACAAACTTTTACTTCCAAAATCCAAGATGGCCACCTGTCGGCCATCTTGAATGCGAATCATTTCAAAAAAGATACATACACAACTAGGGACCAATGGGAACCTGCATATGAAATTTGAGAAAGATCCATCCAGTACTTTTCCAGAAATAGCGGTAACAAGAATTGTTTATGGACGGACGGACCACGGACGGCAGAGCGATTTGAATACCCCACCATCTGATGATGGTGGGCTAAAAATCATCCCTTTTGTTTCAAGTTTTAAGCAAATATTCATGAACTGGAGTTTTTTTCAGGGATGGGGGTGGGGGGAGAAAGAGAATTTACAATATATACCTTTACTGTCACCATTGTATTTCTTCTCCCTAGCCTTCACTTCAAGGTCATGCTCTTTATCAAACTCCATCTGCAGAAGTTGAGCCAGCATATGGTCGTCTTTGGTATCTTCAGAGCCCATTCCTGAGGTGAGCGTGGCTAAATTGATCTCAGGCGCCACCTCTGCTTGACTAGATGTAAAACAAGATATAATTTTTACTGTTGAGTACAATATCAAATCTGAGACAACAATACTTTCTTTTTAAAACTCATTCTAGTTTTTCTTCTGTTAATACTGGGACTAACCGAATCATTTTACATCCTCAGGAATAGGGATTTCTACCCGAGAAAACTTATTAATATTTTGACTATGTAACCCTGGTAAATACTAGCTGCAATATATCACGCAGCTAGATACAACTTTTCTTAAGCTCAATCTGTTGGGCATAAGACCAGTCAAGGTTCAAATCCTGGTGGAGGCATTTGATATAAATAATGACCTCTGTTACATTGGCGCCCACGAAGGAATTTGGGAATAATACTTAGCCATGCCCCATAAGCATCGCTGTAACATGTGGAAAAATTGAGGACAAATTCTTTCCTGGAGAGGGAGTTCGTAACCCTGGTAAATACTGATTGCATTACACCGCTCAGCTAGAGAATATTTCTCTTAAGCTCTATCAGTTGAGCATCAGACTAGTAAGCAGAGGTCCCGGGTTTGAATCCTAGTGGAGGAATAGAGTTCTGTTACAAATGTAACACTTTAAAAGGCAGCCAATACAGCTACAATACAACAGCAGTACCACTATATTTTCGTCATAATGATGTTGTTTTCCTTAATGTAAATAAACAAAATCATCCATCAGAAGAGTGATAGCTAATTATCATTCATGACACCATTTTTTCTGCTTTTCATTCTAGTTCCAGTTGTTTCATGGCATAAAACTTAAAACTTAGACCTAAAGAAAAATACATTCTTTTCAATGTTCTTATTCATCATTTTCAGACAAGAATGAGCTTAGATAAAGATAAAAGAATATTATCTGGGTATCGATTAACTTTAGGGGCAGTGCCGGAAAAATGTGTCAAGATCTTTAACAATATAAGTTTATTTTTTTCTTTTAGCTTTGTTCAGAAAGGGTTATCTGGTATGCTTTCATATTTTCATAGTGTCCAAAATATCTCATTATGCTCCATTTCTCTCCTAACTCTGGTTAGAATTATGAGTGAAGGTATTTCCTGGTGTATCATGACTATTTCAAAAGCATTTGTTTTAGAGAGTGCAATATTCTTACTATTGTGACCTCCTTTTATCAACATTTGTCGCTATATAAAGCAACGACCAGAAAGATGAGTGATTTAAGATACAAGAAATTTCATACAGCATGTGACCATTTGGGTGTTGGTTTGTATTGTGGGCATAAAAACAGTAACATTTCACCATTAGGGTGGTTGTTAATGGAATTAAATGTGGATAAAGATTTAGTTTTCTATGAATCAAGTCAAAATTGGCATGAGACTGCTGAAGTAAAAGCATTGAACTGTTCAGAACTGTTTGTTCACCATCCAGAGGTAGAGCCATTTTGATGGATAGTCGTCGCAGTTTTCATGACAACAATAGTGTTAATGATGTTGTAATGGTCAATCGCTGGGTGTCATGATCTATCTCACTTAAAACACAAACACCATATTGGAAGGGTTTCTGCTGGAGTTGTTTACGTATAAGACATGTGTCTGTGCGTTGAATCACATTTCATTTTGGTTTGTTTTTATATTGGCATTGCCATACAAATCAGACCAGGCCCCAGTTTTACAATTAATCGTCCTTAATTTACAATAGTTAAGGAAATTTATTAAATTGAAATTTTCCTTAATTCGTCTAATGTTTTTCTTCGGTAGTTCAAGAAGATTCGTGAAACCGGAGCCAGCTGTGTGGATTAGAATGCATATTTACCTGACTAATTCCCATTCTTTTAAAACTTCCTTCTCCTCGAGATCGGCTGCCAGTTGTTCGCTCATCACATCTTGAAATGAACGCGGCTCTACCGGGTCACTGGTGACCTTACCCCATGGGGAAGACATGACCGGCCCTCTGTTATAATTATCAAAACAACCAACACCTTCCATCAAATAATTACACTGATTGTTAGAAATACAAAATTCAACGTGAGACGCTATGATTGACAGGGACTGAAAATCCTCGATATCTCTAAACTTTCGCGAGGCTGATCAGCTGTTGTACTTTTTACGATAAGGCATTTTCTTTAACTCGTTAAACTGTTTTACACAAACTGATATGTCTATGAGTTTCCTTGGTTTATAACATGGTATTGATCTATAAATAAACTTCATTTCCTAATTACAGTTATTTCACCACCATACGTACCGAAAATTTCTTCAACGTTGTGCAATATTTCTTGTTTATTTTTTAGATAACCCAAACGTTATCTATCTCCCAACAGTAACTGTTGTATGTGTCGGATTTGAACCAAGAGCGTACAAATCATCCATGTTATAGACCTCGTACCAGGAGTTTGTGACTGTTGTTTGAGAAGGCTGAAATTAAGAATACTTGAAAATGCTATAATCACATGCATTTATCCAAGACCGTGATAAAATTACTACACTTTAATTCTAAATATGGCCTGATTGCACTATATAGATTTAATCACTTGTTGGACTATGTTTTCACATTCATCGTCAGATTCACAGGGACTTGGCATCACATTCCAACCCATAGTGTTTAGTGCCAGTTGTGTTAATCTTGGTTACGATGGAGGTGTATGTAGACGACACACTTCTATAAATAATGTTGTATTATCTTATTTTGCCAGAAAAAAAGAAGACTATATATATTAGTTGTGTTATTTGTAGACATATACTGGTATAGAAGTTGAGAGCAAAGACCGCCTTACTAGCATCGGTATTTAAAGTGTCCGGCATGAGACCGTAAAACTCAAAAATAAACCAAACACAACTTCATTTTCCTATCAATCTCAGTTCATTGTTCCTTTTAATTTTTTCGTTTATTTCAAAGTTTTTGACTCCCGGTTTAACCATTGTTGTCTCTAAACTTGTCGAAAAACCAAAAATATTTGTGTTGATAGAAAAATTGGACAGTCTAGCGCCCGAACAATGACTTTGGGTCCATTGATTATGTATAACCCTTTTAAGGAAAATTGCATCCACAGCGCACCGTCCAACAGATTTGTTGCGGTATTCAAACCATCGTTCTACAATGTTTAGCCTGGAAAACACTGACTTCATGTTATTAAAATCTAATCACGGGAATATTTTTTAGTCGTGTACGTTCAAACAACACAGACATATTCCACAATGCATCACTTTTAGAAAACGCCAAAATTAATATCTTTTGGAACAAATTATTTCCACACTGGGTGTTGAATTCGTTCAACAAGACGTCCCTCTTGTTAATCTTCATACTTTTTACGAAAAAAAAACTTTTATAGGATGCAGTTATGTCAATGATAAAAAAACCCGACTCCGATATCAGTGATAGTGAAAATAACATGATAAGTCTTTGAAGATTTAAAGTTTGAGACTGATAACTCAAGTCAGCGACATTGGCAAGTATCTAATAAAAAAAAAACCCCAGTTAATCTACTGCTTGTTAATATCAAATTTGAACGACGACGTACACTTTATCCAGTGTATAAAAAATGACATGATTTTGGCATTTTGTTACGTTATACGATTTTTTCCCGCTTTTTATTACTTGTAAATGAACACGAATTTGGGAAAATATGGCCCGCTTCCCGGATACATGTCTCCCCCTCCCATTCTGTATAATCCTGAAACATCATTTAAAAAAATTATATAGCATAAACACGGACTTTGATACACATCTAAATCAGTGATACAAATAATGCATTGTTGACGCAACCCTTCTTTTCTGGAATCAAATCGATCAGTTTACGGAGAAATTCATGGCTTTAAAACATGTGAAAATCGCAACCATCCAGACATAAAAAAATGAGTTTTAGTCACAGTTCTTTTCTACAATACTCCGGATGTATACTTAGCAAAAAATGATACAAAACACACGAAATACTATGACAAGCCATTTTAAATTTCAATCCTGTTTCCTCTTAAGGTGAAATGTACATTAAGTTTATTTTGCCTTAAGATAATCAAAGTTATTTTCGACTTATATTTAATTTCACTTAAATGAAAAATAATTTCAATTCAGTTTGATAAATAGTGTTAGACTTTGAGAGATTGTTCTATTCACTTTTGTTCACTGAAGTGAAAATCTTTTTCAATTAAACAAGCGGCTGGGTGTCTGAACTCCCACCTTCTTCAATAGATTTGGACTAGCCTATTTATCAACAAAACATTCTCTTCAGTCAGATCCAGAACACATAATGTAAAAAAAGAATATTTTCACTGCAGTGAAAAAACACATAATGGAAATAAATTTTTTTTTTACTGAAGTTATAATAACTAAAAGTGCACTTATTAGTAAGGCAATCCCTACATGACATGCACATGTTTATGTATTTGTATTCAGTTGGTCAGTCACAAAAATAATTGAATTTTGCAAAAAAAAAAAAAAAAAAGTACGAGTTATTTCCCTTTAAGCGAAAGACTGACCCGGAAGTGAAAAATTGTAAATATTGAAAAAGATGGTCGCATGACAAGGTCTTTGATCTGGAAACAGGTGAGTGAAGATGTCGGTGAAACCTTTCTCTATTTCACATTTAATGTAATTCTGTGTCTGTATTATAATTTTCAGTCTTTATTGCCACTCTGTACAGCAATGTTATCTGATGATTTTCCAGCCTATACGACGTTGTCATAGCTAATATTTTTTTCATTTTTGAAATTGACAGTGATTAATGAGTGGTTTGCACTATTAGGCAAATACAAGTGATCTCACTATAGTTGTAACAGCTGTGTTTATTTTTATCTGATGGGATAATGATAATGACATTTATATAGAACAAAATGACGGTGATGTTTTCTTGTAGAATCAGAGAAATATTAATATATATATACATCATATTTCATTATCTAGTGACTGTAGAATATGACAGTTAATCGCAATAATGCTTCCTAATTTGCCATCATCACCTTCCCAAATTATAATTTATTTCTTTATCTCCAGCTTCTATCACATCCTCTCTTTACCTCACCTTTTCTCTTTTTTAGTCAAATCTCAAGCCCCGTCCATTCATGCCTTTGCTTTCCCTCTGTATATAGAAACTAAATTCTCCTTTCCAACATTCCACCCCTCAACCCCCTTCACCCTATCAACATTAAAAATGTTCTCCCTTATAACCCCATGCAAACTTTTAACCTATGCTAGCTCTATTGTCACGCCGCTTCCCTGTCCATACAGAAACATACACACACATGTAACCCTGGTAACCCTGACCTCTGTTACACACACTCCCTAAGGTGTCCATTTTATCACTCATTGTCCTTGTCTATATACAAACCTATACACACACTCCTAAAGGTGTGTTTTACTGTCCTTTCTTCACTCTTCATCATCTACACCCCACTTTTGCCCCAAAATCACTTTCTGTCTATTGCATATTCTATTATCATTCTTTTACCTCACTTTTAAGATCGTAGATTTGTCCCCCATGTCTGCACTCTACTCTCCTACAGTCCCCTAAATCTGTTCCCTTCTGCCTCTTACTCTGTCCTAATAAATCGGTGCCTTTCTTTGAAACCCCTTACATTTCTTCAATCTATGCGCTCATGCCCTTCATCCTACCTTAGATCTTTTCCTTCCTATCTCTTTCTTTCTCCTGAGTCTTTGTCATCTTACCTCTTAGCTTCCCTGAATCTTTTTCCTTCCTTCACCTTACCTTCCCTGAATCTTTGCCCTCTCTCCCCTTACCTTTCCTAAATCTGTCCCCTGCTACCCATTATTGTTAACATCCCTAAAATCTCTGACACCCCTCACTAATATCTGTGCTGTTGGTTTGAAGGCTACAGAATGCAGCTTTAGTGTGTTTCTATACAATGTCTATGTGGGATGATATACCCACTACTCTGACAGTGTTTGGACCTCTCAGCTCCGAGGTGTCAGATGGAGGAAATCTATTCACAAGGTTCTGGAAGAGGAATAAAGGTTGGTTCTATTCTCATGTCTGCTCTTGTCTTGTGTTTTTGTCTTTTTTTTTCAATCTGTTCCTTGACAAAGAATTATTCTATTCTTTCTGATATTTTTGACCGCAAAGACCTCATTGAGTATATAACAACATAACTAATGATGAATCTAATGAAATTGAATAAAACAAATATTGTTATCTTCATACGATATCTAAATGAACTAATATCATTCTTAAGATTGTAAACATCTGTTCAGTGAATACATTGTTTTCTGAAAAAGACTGATATATTCACATCTCGGCTTATCTATGTATATTTTATATTGATACATAAGTTGATTCTAAATTAAAGCATGAATTTTGATATGCATGTTAACGAAATGTTAACTTTACGATAGATGACTCTTCGTCATCTTCACGTGGCAGCAGTCAGAAATCCTCCCGTGATCCATCTGTGGACAGGGAGGTAAACAAGAGACGGGTCTCTGTCACACCAAGGGTAGACAACTCTGAGCTGACTGGCCCAAGTGGAGGTGGTAAGTCCTGTTTTCTTATATTGTTCTTCAAATTGTTTTCAAACAGATGACTGATTTTTTGAAGTACTCAGTTAAATATTGACAATATTTATTGTCATAGATAAAGAATTCTTTTTGTAATAGTCATTGAAAAATTCAGTAAAAACTAAAAATAATCAGTTTATAGTCACTTCAAATAAAAAAAACCTATATGTATCTACACTCTGAATACTGATATGACCAGCTCAGAATTGATGGAAATACTGATATACACATATGTAACTAGCTCAGAAACAATGGAATACTACATCAGCTACCCCAAAATCTTTGAAAATCCTCTCTTTCTTTTCATATACTGTCCTAAAATGGGGCATATTATGACATATCTTATACAGTGAAAGCTTAAGTGATTGTTTGTTGTTGTTGATGATAGTGACTGCCCCTTCTTCAGTGGTTACAGAGGCACAAGAAGACAGTTTGAGGGAAAGCTTGACAGAAGCTAGCAGTGAAGTGGAACAACAGCATGGAGACGCTGACAGGACTCTCTCTAGTGTCCTCAACCGACTCAGCAACATACTGGAGCGCCGTACCACGGTCAGTTTACACTTAATGTAAATCCTGACAAAATGTTCTCTGCTTCATTAAAACCTTCTGTAATTTTGCTTTACAAATAAATTCAGCCATGAACATTTGTTTCCTTAGTTAACCTTTACTTCTGCTAATAACATTGGTATGTTTTGTCTATTTAAATCACCACAGACTCCTCAGGCATATCGTGACAGTGATTTCAAGCAGTTTTGGATGCCAGACAGCAGCTGTAAGGAATGTTATGACTGTGGGGATAAGTTTACGACATTCCGCCGGCGTCATCACTGTCGTATCTGCGGCCAGATATTCTGCAGTAAATGTTGTAATCAAGAACTCCCTGGGAAAATCATCGGCTATAAAGGTTATTTTAGTAATTATTAAGTTCATGTATGTGATGATGCTAATGTGTGACGAGGATAATGATTGTATATGATGACGTTGATGTCAGATGCTGATGTTGTTTGTATATGTAATAATGCTGGAGTACTAGTATGGCTGCAAGTTATAAATATATATTTAGAGTGATTGTGTTACATAGTGTCTATGATAGTTAAGATATAGTGTGCAACTCAAAATGCTGTGTGTTTAGTGGTGAAAATGATGCATGACTATACTCTGTAAGTGTGTGATGGTGGGAGTTATAGACTGATAGTATGTATGAATCTATTTATTCCTCATGTGTTTTTGGATAAATAAAAAATTTTAAAAAAAAGTTCATGATTACCTGGCAGGTGTTATTGCTGTCATTAGTCTGTTATCACATAAATAATATGTTATCATTGTGATAACACCAATAATATACAATTATTGACATTTTGTAGGCTATTAAAGATGATATTCCCCCCAAAAAACATAAAACTGATTTGTTGTATGTCACAGCATTTAAAATAAGAGTTGAAAAAACAATGGAGGCAGATCAGCTTCCTTGACCATGTGCGAGAGTCAAGCTCTGGTTGTTTGTAAACAGATAGTGCTACTTTCTCATTGGTTGAAAGTTCATTGCGTCATGGAAATTCCCTTCATCTATTTTGGATTAAGTTTTCAATTTGTGATGTTAACCCCTCTCACAGGAATTCGCTGGTTTCAGGTAAACCAGGGTTTTCCATAATTTTGTTAGTAGTAGACTGTGTAGTGAAAGTAGGAGGCTGGCCTGTCGTGTACGTGTAGTCGTGTACGGAACATCATTACGGAACTGGATTGGTGTAAGCGGCCAAATGATCAAAGTAACCGGTCAAATTGGCCGGCGACCGGCTCTTATGGAAAACCCTGTAAACATTGCATTTTGCTGAAATCTTTGGGAGAGCTCGAGTGGATCCAAAAAGGGATGTTCTCACTCATATAACAACATTTATTGTCATATAAGTACACATGTAATAACACATTGCAGAGCTGTGATTTACTGAATGTTACGTTTGTTTTTATTATGACGTCATAACTCTATGATATATTATGTACTGAGAAGTCCCCAAAGAACAGCATCGAATATGGATATTGCACATTTAGATTTTATATCAGTGTAATGTGGAATGCTATTTTCCTGAATGCTTGGGTAATGTAAATAATCATTTATCTCTGACATGAAACAGAAACTGATGTTGCATCTTCTCCGTATGAAATTTCAATGGTAAGATGATACAGTAGACAGTGTATTTATCATTCACTTCAGGGATCAAGGTTTTCTGTTAAACTTTTATTTCTGTAGGGGATCAGGGTTTCATAGTAATATCAAGCTTGCTGTATCTATGCTGTGAAAAATATTGATGGTATCTACTAGTATTATTACATTATATATAGTATCCCCAAATGTTATTTCATTATAGATAGTATCAATGAGTGTAAGTATGTTGTAGATAGTATCCATGAGTGTAAGTATGTTATAGATAGTATCCATGAGTGTTAGTATGTTACAGATAATATCCATGAGTGTTAGTATGTTGTAGATAGTATCAATGAGTGTCAGTATGTTGTAGATAGTATCGATGAGTGTAAGTATGTTATAGATAGTATCCATGAGTGTTAGTATGTTGTAGATAGTATCCATGAGTGTTAGTATGTTATGGGAGGTTCAGTTATTAATCACATTTCTTTGTTGTAGGTGGTATTCGTGTGTGTACTTACTGTGGGAAGGTGGCTATGAGTGCCCTTCAGAATGAACCCTCGACTGGTGACCTGAGGGTGGAGAGAGAGGACTTTCGTCTCTCTATGGAATACTCAGATTCGGGGGGTCCTGCAGGTGCCAACAGTATCTGGGGCTCTAGCAAGAAACAAGGAACTACAAACAAACTCAGGTATGATCAGGTAACATCTATACAATAAGTACCTTTACAAAAACTAACATGTGGTTCTTATAGAGCCTTGTTGTGTGTTTCCCAACATTTCACAGACCTGTGCAGAGAAGATAGGTGTGCTTGTGTGTATCTTCTGGATTTTGAAGATGTTTAGAATCAATACTGATAATTTTATTCACTTTGGGCTTTCCTATTATTATATAGTTCATTGCTAGTGGTATTTCAGTTTCATAGTCCAAAAGGTTGATTATGTGGCTTTACAGTTGAGATTTTTGTCCATAGTAAGAAAATCGGCACTGTTTAACGGTAGTAGAATGATGAAAATATTTGTTGTTTTTACAATGTATATTACACCTATTGTTGTCCATCAGGAGACACCTGTCAGTGACCAGCAGCACCACTAGTCTGGACCAGATGGCCCCGTTTGATCTCACACCTCAGAATGATTATCAGAACTTTGAAAACCTCTACATGGACAGGAAGTTTTTAGAGGTATTTATTCTACAGTACACAGCCAGGTTTAGTAAGGCTCTAGATTTAGGTTAAAATTTCTTACTTAAAACATAATTTATATATAAAAAAAATTCGATTTCATTGTCTCATTTAAGTAAGTTTATAACTTCAGGTAAATGAAATCACTCACATTAGATGTAATATGTCTAAGTTGAAAAAAAAAATCAGATTCAATTAGAATTTTTAAGTAAAAAGTTGTTTTAAAAAGTTTAATATTAGAAAAATTTAGAAAAAGGGTCAGTTTAATTTCCATTTAGTCTTAGTTGTATTGAATTCTTGGTTGTTATGACTAGCTAATTTCCTTTGAAAAAATCATAGAGAGAAGGAAACTAAGCAAAGGTCAGGCCTGGTAAAAACTGAATAACAATTGATTGTGGATGTGTTGAATAAGACATGTCTGGTATTAAACCCGACCACATCTATTTCAGTTCTATCAAATTAACAACAAACGTTGTATGTCAAATAATAAGCCCTTAGTTTGAGTCAGAGCTTATTTATTAATCCCCTAGACTTATCACAGGATAGTAGAAACATTGAGTTTTATGTACCTTTCTACTAAGGACCACGATAGCTCAGTAGGTAGAGCATTGACCTACAAAACCTCAGGTAAATACTTGGATGCTCTCAACCTGTGACAGTTTGTGTTTCTCAGGAAGCTGAGAGAGGAACAAGTCTGATGTGCTGATGTGGTTGTGTCCTTAGGCAAGGCACTTCACTCTAATTCCACAGGATAGCATGTGATGGACCTCCTGTATGTTGTTCATTGAGGTAGTTGCCTGTTACTACAAGGATATCCCACTTCAAAACAAACAAATCTATCTGTTTCATGTTTTTCCTTTCAGGACTCCATCCAACTACGTGAACTATGGAAACACATTGCAGACCTTGACAAAGGGGTTGAGATGCAGAGTCACAGAATTCGTCTTCGCACCTATCATAAGTGCATTGTGGGAAACAAACTTGTTGACTGGCTGATTAAGAATGACAGAGCTGTGAGACGGTGATTAGTTTTTCCTGTTTACACAAATTACATATGACTTGAACTTCTCTAACTATCATTATGCTCTTTGAAGATTATCGGGGAAGCATATAGTTTCCAAAGTTTGGGCCTTCAACTCCTTAATTAGTTATTGCTCTTTGTTAAAATTTTGTGTCTGGAGCACAACTTGCCTATATTTAAGATAGGATAATGAAATGTGATGCTTATATTGGTCATACAATAGCAATGTGAAATGTACCAAAGTCAGGACCTGTAACCTTTCAGTTATTGAGTTTTTGCCCTTTGTTAAATCTTTTTTATCCAGAGTATGACTTGCCTGACATTGAAGGTAGGATAATGATACTTGGTATATATGTGTAGTGTACCAATGTTAGTTACTGCCCTTTGTTAAACGTTTTGTGTCCAGACCATGACATTGCTTTCAGGTTTAAGCTAGGATAATGAAACTTGGTGTATATATTGATCATGCTAAGAGGATTTGCAGTACCAAGTTCAGAGCTTGCAACCCCATAATTACAGAATTATTGCCCTTTGTTAAAAGTTTTTGTTCAGCAATCTTGTTTTTGGGGAGCAATCATCAGTTTCACTGATACATGATTTTTTCAAAGTGACTGTTTCTGATTAAACATTTACTTTCACACATATCAGGAAGTATATTTTAACTGGAAGTGGGGAACACTCTTTTTTCACCTGATCTTGAAATTTCCTGCATTCCATGAATGTATTAATTTTATTTATTCTAGTGTTGTCATGGTCACAGCATACAACTAATTGTTTGTAGTGTTGTCATGGTCACAGCATACAACTTATTGATTATGTTGTTGGCATGGTCACAGCATACAACTTATTGATTCTGTTGTTGGCATGGTTACAGGCAAGTCATTTATAATACTAAGTATTATTGCCACGGTTTCAGTGTACAAGCAGTGGTGATTGGCCAAGCATTACTGGATGCAGGGTATTTAGAGCCAGCCAGTGGACAACAACCATTAGTATTTCAAGATGACTTCACCTTATACAAACCGTCTGAGGTAATTTTTACAGCCAAATATATGGTGATGATAATACCCTAAAATTCCAGTGTCAAAAATTAGTTTATTCTTGAAATAAGCCCACAGTTTCTTCGTACATAAGTTAACATACATTTGATTACATATAAAGAAAATGTGCCACATCTTATTTACAACTTTTTTTAAAGTATGGTGAAAGAACTCATTTTCATTGTTACAATTTCATTATAGATTACAGTAAGTATTAATTTGTTATAATAAACAAAATTGTTTCTTGTACTGAAGTTATAGAAAATGCGTTTTGCCTCTAAAGCAAGGGGTTATTAGATTGAGCTTCAGTATCTTACACTCTTCCTTAATATTACAGAGTATATTTATCAGCTTAATGTCCAGATGTTGGAACAAAAGATAGCACATAATGATCACATGATGAAATTTTCCTACATTTTATTTCATTTTTCTGCACTATTATGAATTACAGTAAAATTAATGTTGTTCATTATGACCTCCAAATATAACCATTATGAAATAATTTGATTAAATCTGAACTACTGTGCAGACCTCTCCACTGGACCAACCTGAAGACTTCTTGCCAAGGGGAGATGACTCTGGCATTGAAAACACTGAACCTGAGTGGCTACAGCAAATAGAGATGGACAGTGATGGTGGTGAGTGCAACATCTGTTAAGTCACCTCTGATATTCCATAATCTCATGTTATATGCTCACTTCTCAACTTAGAGTCAGAAATGATGTTTATGACATCCTAGACCTGCAGCAGGATAGCTGTGGTAGTTGCTTTAATTATATAACACATTGCTTAATGCCAATTTACATGTCTCTGTGTTATACAGACAGCAATTGTGAACGTAGTTGTTTGTATAGTCTAAATCAAGTTTAGTGCTTTACTTTAAATATGGTTGTGACATATATTAGAATGATATTAGAAGAAGCACATTTTTCAGAATTCATGAAATGGACAAAAGATATGCATTTGTATCTATTTATTTTCTTTGTATCTTTTTTTGTCTTTTAAGTCAGCCCTCAAAAAAACAGGTAAAAATATAACACATGAAAATTTGATCTTTTATTGCAAATAGAACACTCGTGTAAATGAATAAGGATAATGGTTCAATGTCACACGCCATTTTTGACACAAGATTTGTGGACTCATTGTTGGTTTGTTACAGATTCAGTGTCAGAGGAACACACAGAGAAGTCAGATTCATTCCAGGCCTCAAATGTCAGCCGCAGAAATAAGGATGTCACTTCACAGACCAGCTCCCGGGACAAAACTACAGGAGGTAAATTTTAGTCAGTCTGTTTGGTTCTTTTGTCATCCTATCTACATTTTTCAAAAATGTTCCTTAATTTATTGATAAGCTCACCTGCTTAAAGGGTTAGTGAGCTTATGGTGCATTGTCCAACTGACAAGAACTTTTCCATTTAAATGACTTCTTCTCAATTACCAAGTGGCCAAGGTCATGGTATTTGTCAGGTATATTTCTTTGACAATGCCTGACAAAGTTTGTGAAAAAAAAAACCTTGACCCATATTCAAGGGTCTTCATACAAATTCTTCTGATTAACGAAGAGGCTTAGAATCAGCATATTTAGCTGGTTCCTGCAATAATGCTGACAATTATTGCTAAAGATAATGTCCTTGTCTTGTATTCAACATTATAGGAGTCAGATTTGTTCAAATGTTCAAATAACTTTGCTTGCCAATATATTATATTTGACAAAAGTCATCCATATTATAATACATCTATTGTAGACACATGTTGACCTGATAGTGTAAGCATGCTAGTTTTATAGTTTGTTTAAATAGATTTGTTATAGACATACTTAAACTGTCAACAGCACAAGTATATGAGAAAAACATTGACTATAAAGTCAGTGATACAGACATATTGAGCACTTTCTTCTGTGAATGACACAAATATGTATGACAAAAAATATTGATTACCAAGAAAGTGATACAGGTACATCAAACCTCTTCTTTATAAGAAAAATTGTTAACTACAAATTTATTTAAGCAAGCGAAGTAAAAGAATATTAAAGATTAAAGATAGAAACTAAGACATGGCAGACAAATTAAATATTCTATTTACACAGGGCTGCTCTATATTAACACAGGGCTGCTCTATATTAAAACAAGGCTGCTCTATATTAACACAGAGCTGCTCTATATTAAAACAGGGCTGCTCTATATTAAAACAGGGCTGCTCTATATTAAAACAAGGCTGCTCTATATTAACACAGGACTGCTCTATATTAACACAGGGCTGCTCTATATTAACACAGGACTGCTCTATATTAACACAGGACTGCTCTATATTAACACAGGGCTGCTCTATATTAAAACAAGGCTGCTCTATATTAACACAGAGCTGCTCTATATTAAAACAGGGCTGCTCTATATTAAAACAGGGCTGCTCTATATTAAAACAAGGCTGCTCTATATTAACACAGGACTGCTCTATATTAACACAGGGCTGCTCTATATTAAAACAGGGCTGCTCTATATTAACACAGGACTGCTCTATATTAACACAGGGCTGCTCTATATTAAAACAGGGCTGCTCTATATTAACACAGGACTGCTCTATATTAACACAGGGCTGCTCTATATTAAAACAGGGCTGCTCTATATTAACACATTGCTGCTCTATATTAACACAGGGCTGCTCTTTATTAAAACAGGGCTGCTCTATATTAACCCAGGGCTGTTCTATATTAAAACAGGGCTGCTCTATATTAATACAGGGCTGCTCTATATTAAAACAGGGCTGCTCTATATTAACACCGGGCTGCTCTATATTAAAACAGGGCTGCTCTATATTAAAACAGGGCTGCTCTATATTAACACATTGCTGCTCTATATTAAAACAGGGCTGCTCTATATTAAAACAGGGCTGCTCTATATTAACACAGGGCTGCTCTATATTAAAACAGGGTTGCTCTATATTAACACAGGGCTGCTCTATATTAACACAGGGTTGCTCTATATTAACACAGGGTTGCTCTATATTAACACAGGGTTGCTCTATATTAAAACAGGGCTGCTTTAGTGTTTAAGGCTTTTTATGGCATCTTTTGTTGATTTTTGGATTTGGGATAATTTTTCTCTGGTTGGAAAACATACAAAAGCATGATGAACATTTAGGCATTGGTTTTATGTAGAAAATTTCCTCCAAAATCTTCTCTGGAGCTCTGTATTCATGATACAACAAATCACTCTTTATAAAGGTTATGTTTCATGGTTTTATTTATTAGGTTATTTTTTACGTCCCCGGTAAAAATAGATCTTAACTGATAGTTTGATGTTGTTTTTAGATGAAGAGGAGATATTGGATTTTGAACCCCTGCCCAGACAAGACAACCATGGTAGTGGAGGACAAGATGATATCATCACAGGTACAGTGTAAATCAATATAGCTAGACCAATAAAGAGTTTTCGCAAATCAAACATGATATGTGTGTTTAAATGGTAAATTGATGTATAAGGTTTCCATTAGTAGATGATTTTGTACAGTTTTCTTCAAAAACATCCCATGAAATCCTAACTTGTTCGGAATATCCCTTTATGTGTTTTTATTTTTTGTGGAATCTATTGCCATGTAAGCATGCAGGGCATCATGATCAGGAAGTCTTTTTTTAAATTGCTGGAATGATTGCTAAATAGTGTAAACAAACACTAAAGTGTTCAACATAACAGTTAACCATTTCGGTGCCAATTTATCTCTTACAATGTACAGCTGAGCGCCAAATATTTTCCGGAAAATATCAGAAAACATCGAAAAAATTGTCGACCAAAGTCGCCAATGGCTGCCTGTCGACTTTAATTGCCTACGGCGCCAAAAGGGTTAAGGAATTATTGATTCTTTATTGGAATTCACACAAAAATTGAAATTCTTGTTTACGTACTACCTAAATTGTTAATAATATTGGTGTAGGACTTAGTTTCACTATATTCATGGTCAATAAAGATAGTGTGACATCAATATCCAGCAAACAGTTCTATGGTTAAACAAAAATATTTGTCTGTATACATGAACACCAGTTCCTAGTCATGTACAGAATTTGATACCCTTGAACTAGTGAAAACTGGGACACTCCCTGGACAATCCTCAAATATTAGCCCCAGGAAATTCAATCATTTCACATTATCAGCTTGAATTGTTCATATGGAGTAACAGTTTGAAAGTATGTTATTGTGAAGGTCATTGTAATATGGTTAAAACTGATCAAGTTGTGTCAATAAAACAATGTGATATTTATTTGTTTCACAGTGGATATACTTCAAATTGATATAATGGGGTTTTCCTGTCAAAAATTTACACATTTTGTATAAGTTCTTTTACTCAAGTTAAAATATTTAAGACAATTTTGATTTTTGTTTTAAAAAGTTTTCAGTAAGTATTATAGTCTTATTTTGAAATTTGTAGATTCAGTGTTTACAAGTTCACAGACACAGAGTGGAAGCCACTTAGTGAGTTCCTGTCGCGGTTGGCGCACACTAGAGCAAGTCAAGGATGAAAATGATGAGAAATCTTCTTTTGTCACACTTAAGTATGATTATTAGTGAAATATACTCAGGGTATTGCTCTTATCCTTCAATACCATAAAAACCCATGTAATGTGCGCAGATCCTTTTTTGAGCCGAGAATGGCAAAAAATTTATCTGCGAATGTTCAGCTTACACGTCAGACCAACAATAGAAAGTCCAAAACTTGAAAGCATTCTCTTAAGAATTTTTTCTTTCTGACTTTTAATTGCTTTCTGTTTAATTATAGGGTAGGAAAAATTGCCTAATGCTTGAGCATTTCTTGTTTGTTTTCTTTGATATCAAACATGTTATGCTTTATCATTCACTTACCTATCCAATTAACCAGGATTTATTTATCTTACATATACAAACATTTGTCTTCACACAAGGCTTAATCAACAGTGTTCAGTGTTGAAATCACATACATCATTATCGATCTATTAATGACCAATTTAGGTAATTATGATCTCTGCGAGTCAAGTTTTCTTTTATGTCTGGCTGTCACAATGTGGGGCCTCAATAACTACGCAGTAGTAGTCTACACTTGCGGTGGTATACTGTACCCATGACCTTGTCCATGACCTTTGATTTTGTCATACCTCGTATGTTGTAGAAATTTCCTGTTAACAACAAGGGGTACAATTTCTTACACATCTGCCATCTTTTTTTCAATGTGGCTGATCACTGGTGTGTGCCATACCCAGTCTCGGCCCGGGACACAAATCAAAGTTCAATATTCTAATAAATAAGTTTTATCTCATGAACAAAAAATCAAAGAAATTTCAAATTTTCTTTAATCTAATTTTTAAAATCTAATTCAAGAAATAAAAAACTTACACTTTGAATGGATTCATTACATTTTCTGATATGTTTATATCAGACACACATATTTAACATCTCTTCTATATTCATTGTCTGCATTTTCGAGGGGGTGGAAATTTGAACACAGCACTCAAATGTGAAACTGTAATTAATTTATTCAAAGTATTAGATTTTAAAACATTTAAGATTACATTTCACATAAAAATGACTTTAATATTGCCTCAAACAAACTTTAGTATAAATCCCTGTGTGATGCCATTGAGTGGCTTATTTCATCTGATGATGGGGTTTGGGGTTGAAGTAGGGACTTGGATTCAGAGTCTACTGGAAGTGTTATCGATTTATAAACATACTTGTACTTGACTATATGAACTGTTGGTATGTTCATTCAATTCAAATCATCCAGAACGAATACGTGAAGCTGAGTTTTACAGTTTATGGGTTGGCTTGTTTGCAGGTCATTACACGATGAACATTTGCGTGGCCTTGTAAGTCAGATGTTGTGTGACGAAGGCTTGTCCAAGTCCTGGATGGACATTGTCCTTGGAACTGCACAGAGGGTCAGCAGATATGTTCACCCCGATATCAAACATTCTGGAGACCACATGGACATCAGGAGATACATCAAGTTTAAAAAGGTGCTTTGCATGTTGATTTATACTGATGATTTTTGTAAGACTTTTGAAGATTTATCAGTTACTGAGAAAGATATAAAATAAATATCAATGTTATTACTGATCTCTTTGATTTGGAAGAAAACATTTGATTTTAAATGTGTTGTAAACATTTGATTTAAATGTTTTTAAATGTTCTTGTATCAAAACATAGTACTAAACTCTCTATATCAAACTCTCTACACTGTATCAAAGCTGTATATAAGTACTAAACTCTCTACACTGGAATTATAGTACTAAACTCTCTACACTGTATCAAAGCTGTATAAAGAATTATAGTACTAAACTCTCTACACTGTATCAAAGCTGTATAAAGAATTATAGTACTAAACTCTCTACACTGTATCAAAGCTGTATAAAGAATTATAGTACTAAACTCTCTACACTGTATCAAAGCTGTATAAAGAATTATAGTACTAAACTCTCTACACTGTATCAAAGCTGTATAAAGAATTATAGTACTAAACTCTCTACACTGTATCAAAGCTGTATAAAGAATTATAGTACTAAACTCTCTATACTGTATCAACTACACTGTATCAAAGTATAAAGAATTATAGTACTAAACTCTCTACACTGTATCAAAGCTATATAAAGAATTATAGTACTAAACTCTCTACACTGTATAAAGAATTATAGTACTAAACTCTCTACACTGTATCAAAGCTGTATAAAGAATTATAGTACTAAACTCTCTATACTGTATCAAAGCTATGTAAGTATGTTGCCTTCATTTTGCTGTCTAGTGATTAAATCTTTTTCTTTAAATTATGTGTAAGTAAGATAAAATACATCTCTGAAGACTTGGTACTGTATTAGTTTCTGTAACTTCCCCACGGCTGGCAAGGTAATTCAAACAAAACATGTTGAAAGCTGGTACTCAAAGAGCCTTAACTCCAACTTTAACAATATTGAAAATAGAAATTGTTTTTGAGAAATAGACTGTATAAAAATTAAATTTAAGAAATATCTGTTTCATTTTGATATATAGAACTTGTCAAATTGAATTATTCACTATTTTCAAAATTATCATTATTCAAATGAAAAGAAGTGTTTTGTGTGAAACACAGGTAAATTCAGGTAAAAATCCAGGTGAAAAAAAGACAGCTTATGTGAAACAGTTTATTATTGACTTGCTATTTTTTCCTGAAACAAAGCCTTCCTATTGATTGAAAAAATGTTGGCATTCAGAGGATACCCCATTAGAACTTGGGTGTCAGTGAACTGGAAACTTCACATATACTTAACACATCTCATATATAGATTCATTTTCAGATATATCATAGACACTATTGCTGTATAATGGATTTCTTAATTTGTTTTAAACTTTTCAAATATTCACATTTGTACTTTAAATAGCATTAAAAGTACAGAGTTGAGTTCCACCTCTATCTATTCACAAGCAGTGTGACGTCACTAACAAACCACGTCATTGTAACCAGTGTACTATCCATGACGTCTAATGTAAATAACGTGTGTAGTTGCCAGACATAAACAGTATATAAAGTCCTGCATTATGAATTTACACTGTTCAGATGACAGCATACCATGTATGCCGAAACATGTCAGCAATTAAATTCTACTGGTAATCTGCCTAAGGAGTTGTCTGGTGCTGTCTACAATGTACATATTTAATGAATTAAACTTTCCAATCACTGACAGATATCTATTCGGCTGACATACTTCCTCAATTGCATGAAGTTGTGATTAAAGATAATAACTTTAAATATTTTTGATGTTATTTCAAAATTTGGAAAAATCAAATATTTCATGATGTATTTTAAACAACTCTGAACCAAGCTTAGTTCAAAGCATCATTGAAATTTTGTTCACTTTTTCTGACCGCATTGAAAAGTGAAATAAATCTTACTTGGATCGTTTGAATTTCTGTTGAAAATTAATGTATGATATCTGGGAACAAAATACAGTTGAATGCTTCTAGGGATATCCTCTGTTATTTTGAACTTTGTTCTTCATGTTTTATAAATTATGTCAGTGATAATTGTGAAATCATCTTACAGGTGAAAATGAAAGAAAAACAAATAAAGTTGATTTGAAAGTTTTCTTTAAGTGATTAAATACTCAATAGATTCCGGGTGGAAACAAGGAGCAGACTTGTGTCATTCATGGCCTCATATTCACCAAGAACGTGGCTCACAAAAAGATGGCGCAACAGCTGAGAGATCCCACAATTCTCCTGTTGAAAGGCTCTATTGAATACCAGCGAGTGGAGAGTAAATTTTCGTCCCTGGAACCTCAGATTCTTCAGGTGTGTGTCTACCACTGCTTTCTATTTCTGTGAAAGTTTATTAAAATGTTGTGTTGTAGTAAATTTGGGCATTAGGTAAATAAGAGAAATTTTTCCTTTCACAAATATTTATTAATGTCATTTTTAAATGAAAACAGTGTTATCATATAATGGTTGTTTTTATCAATGAATTTATTGTTGTTAATAAATGTTCAGACTGCTTTCGTCCGTGATCTCTTGTCCGTACATCATTTGTCAGAAGTTCAAAAGAGATTTTTTTTATATTCCATAGGTATCATGTGACCAGTTATTTAAGACATACAATTTTTTCTACTCGATTAGCTGTATCCTCATTGAATCTAGCAGCTATATTTTAATTTAAGGTTGACAGGATGGATTTATAGTGATGGTGTGTCTGCACTATTAAACTTTTGACATAATGGCTGTATATCTAAGGAAAACCTGTGATACTTTAATTGCTTTGTTGACAGGAAGAGGAATTCCTGCGGAAAAACGTGTCCAAGATATCGTCCATGAAGCCTAAGCCAGACATTGTTGTGGTTGAGAAGTCAGTGTCCCGTCTCGCTCAGAACTTCCTTCTGGCCTGCGGGATTACATTGTTATATAATGTCAAGCTGGTAAATTTATATTGGTGTTAAAGTGTTGATACAACAATAATCCCATGGTTGGTAATAAACCTCACTCCCCTACGTAAGTTTATATTGGTGTTACAGTATTTATCCGACAATAAGCCCATGTCTGGTAATAAACTTCACTCCCTTACGTAAGTTTGTATTGGTGTTACAGTATTAATCCGACAATAAGCCCATGTCTGGTAATAAACTTCACTCCCTTACGTAAGTTTGTATTGGTGTTACAGTATTTATCCGACAATAAGCCCATGTCTGGTAATAAATCTCACTCCCCTATGTAAGTTTGTATTGGTGTTACAGTATTAATCCGACAATAAGCCCATATCTGGTAATAAACCTCACTCCCTTACATAAGTTTGTATTGGTGTTACAGTATTTATCTGACAATAAGCCCATGTCTGGTAATAAACCTCACTCCCTTAAGTAAGTTTGTATTAGTGTTACAGTATTTATCCATCAATAAGCCCATGTCTGGTAATAAACCTCACTCCACTACTTGTATTAGAGATCATGTGTCAACTCTGGGCTTACTACAGGATTTATACTGAAGGCTTATTTTTAATTTTATTTTTATGTTATTGACCCTTAACACAAAAACAGATTGCATTTTAGATAAACCACAAAGTGTTTTATGCCAATAGTACACTCTGTTTTTTTTATTGTGGATCAATAACATAGAAAAAAAATGAAAGTTATTCCTTTCCTGTTGCAATATTTTTTGACATTTACAAGATGTCCTCTTTTCTGTTATAATCTCTTGATAGTGTTACTTGTGTGTCTTTCTCTCCTGTATCCCATTTTTCGTGTCCTATTTTGAATCAATGGTCATATCATATTTTGAGAACCTCTCATATTTATCTCATGCTATCATGATGTTATCGTTTACACCTAATCATATCAAATTGATGGCCATTAAAGCTTAAAGGGTCAAAGGTCATATTACGCATGAGAGCAGGGCTTTCATGTCTAAGAGACATTTTCTAGTTCCAGTCTTGGATATTTTCGTTTAATCACAGATAAGTAAGATGATGCTATTTGTGTGGCTAGGTGTTTGTTAGTTTGCTGATTAAGGATGGTTCTCATATATCGACATGATGGTTTTACATACTGTTGACTGAGAACTTGTTAACTGTTCCACAGGCAGTGATGGAGAGACTAGAAAGATTTACCCAAGCAACCATCATCAGCTCTATCGACGGAATTGTTAGTGGTCCCATCAACCTTGGTTTCTGTCATAACTTCAAGGCTTGTAACTTCAGTCTACCCTCAGGTATGTAGCCCTTATCAACCTTGGCTTCTGTCCTAATTTTAAGACATGTAACTTCAGTCTACCCTCAGGTATGTAGCCCTTATCAACCTTGGTTTCTGTCCAAATTTCAAGACTTGTAACATCAGTCTACACTTGGGTACATAGCCCTCATCAACCTTTTGCTATAACCTCAGAATCTATATAGTTCCTGCTCAATTAGATAAGTGGTATTGTAGTAAGAGTATATGCTACAGAGAAGTGGAGTTAGACGTAGGGGCTATTTTTTCTGGCATCAACATCAATATTTGTGTATAAATCAAAGTTGTTCAATACAGGAGCTGTCCACTAAACTTTATCAATATAGATAAGTTAGAGCTTCTCGGCTCATGGTTTCAGCAATACTTTTAGCCTTGATGGTTAGTTGGACTAACCATTATCACACCAAAGTTTCAAATTTAGCTCGATTTGCGCTTTTCTCTCGATATACACGGACATTCATTACCGAACCTGAAATGTACTCATTGACATAGTCGTCCCAGCAACCATTTCAGATTCACAATTTCTGTCGCAGCTACTATTCATTGTACTTTCTTGTACAATGAATTAGTTATAGAAATAAGAAAACATAATCCTGATGGTATGGGGGATTAGGGACACACAAGACATAATCCTGATGGTATGGGTGATTAGGGACACACAAGACATAATCCTGATGGTATGGGGGATTAGGGACACACAAGACATAATCCTGATGGTATGGGGGATTAGGGACACACAAGACATAATCCTGATGGTATGGGGGATTAGGGACACACAAGACATAATCCTGATGGTATGGGGGATTAGGGACACACAAGACATAATCCTAATGGTATGGGGGATTTCAGATTCTTCTGAATCACTTATTACTTGTCTTTACTCTGTATTGTAGGTGAAAACAAGACAATGCTTTGTTTTGATGGCTGTGCCACTCACCTTGGCTGTACAATTTCTCTGAGGGGAGGATCAAGCAGTGAATTAAAGCGGGTAGGTTGTGCAAGTTTTGATAAATTCCATATTAAGAATCTTTTGTTATTTTTTTCATATTTTCAATGAGAAAATTTATATTGTAATACCATAATGATTGGTCGTAAATAGAATAATTGTGAAACTGATTAGCAGAACAAGATGGCCTCCTGGTAGCCATCTTTGAACCATTCAAGGCAAAAGGTCAAACAGTAAATCTAAGAAAACATTTAGTGAGAAGTTTTAATCCAAAAGGACTAGTATCTGATTCAGTTAGTGCTTGCTAGAAAGCCAACAGATCAGAGAAAAATAAAACAAGGAGATTCGATTTGAGTAGAAGTAAGAAAGATTCTACAATTGTGGAGAACATTTTTATGTATAATTAATAATTTTATAGAAGATGTCTTGACTAGAGCTATTCAAAAATACATCTAAACTGGAAGATTCTGTTTTTCAGATTAAGAAGATCATGCGACTCATTATATATGCAGCTTATACTTCTCAACTAGAAATCTCTCTTTGTATGGATGAGTTTGCCATGCCGCCAGGTCAGTTAGATGGTTCATTACCTGTGGGTGTGACCAACAGCACAGACTCCACCCCCTCTGGTGATGTGGACATTGTAGAGAGCATCAACAGTAGTGATTCTATTCACAATTGGGTGGAGTCAACTATTGCAGTGGAAGCAGCTAATGAAGTTGTGGGAGTGGCTAATCAAGAGATGTGTGTTGCCAATGAAAATATGGGTGTGACAGAGGAAAGTATGGGCATGGCAAAGGAAAATATGGGTGTGGCAAAGGAAAATATGGGCGTGGCAAAGGAAAATATGGGTGTGACAAAGGAAAATATGGGTGGAGGTTATTGTACTGTTAATGATGGCAATGGAAGTTCCAGTATGGCCAGTGTAAATGGCAACAAAAATGATGAGAAAAATGATAGATACCCAGAGATTGTGACACTTAAAAGCACAAAAGATAGTGAGAAGGAGGCTGGAACTGTCAATCAGAATGACACTGACATATCGGATGTGCATGAAAGTGAAGTAGATTCTGACACGGAAAAAGACTTGAAAACTTTGGTGGAGGAAGGAAAAATAAAATTTACTTTAGGGGACATCAATAGTGACAATGAACAATTTTCAGAGAAAAATGAAAATTTGGATCCGAAAATGGATTTACTAAACAGCGATATTATTGGTCGAAAAACTTCCTCATCTGAGATTATTACAGACCAATCAGATCCTCTCCACAACTTCGAAAAAAATCAAGATGATACAATTTTTCAAAGTTCCATTACACTTCAAGAGAAATCTCAAAAGCGATATCAGAAATTCAGAAAACTACTTAATGAAGTATTACTCAGTACATCTCCCTTTGTGAAATATGACGTTCCTTTTCTGGAATCAGAATCTGGGAGTAATTGCTGTTCCCGAAAGTATTTTGCACATATTGATGAGTTGTACTGGTCATGTCGATTTGACCCGGCTGGATATGATATCAGAAGGTCGCAGAAGTATCATGAAGGAGAGCAGCCTTCCAAACTGCCTATGTCGTGGTCAGATGTTGAAGTGGTGGAGGCACACCCCTTTATTTTATCAGAGCTGACCTCCATGGACAAAAACACAACCGAAGTAAGCAATGTGTTATTGATTATTTAAACACACCTGTCCTCTTGTCTGTCATGTTTTAATTCAAATAGTAATTTAAATTGACAGCAGAAAGGCCGATATAAACTATTTATGTCAGTATAAACTTTCAGAAAATTCCCATTTACATTTGATACGTCTAAATGATAACTTTTAATGATTTAAGAATTTCACAACAGTTTCACAATGGTTGATGACACATTTGAAAGGACACAAGAATTGATGATGTAATTGTATAGTCAGATATCACATGACTTTACATTCCCATCCTAGTTCAGAAGGAACTGACTTAGTCAGATATCACATGACTTTACATTCCCATCCTAGTTCAGAAGGAACTGGCTTAGTCAGATATAACATGACTTTACATTCACATCCTAGTTCAGAAGGAACTGACTTAGTCAGATATAACATGACTCTACATTCACATCCTAGTTCAGAAGGAACTGACTTAGTCAGTAATAACATGACTTTACATTCCCATCCTAGTTCAGAAGGAACTGACTTAGATATAACATGACTTTACATTCACATCCTACTTCAGAAGGAACTGACTTAGCCAGATATAACATGACTTTACATTCCCATCCTAGTTCAGAAGGAACTGGCTTAGATATCACATGACTCTACATTCCCATCCTAGTTCAGAAGGAACTGGCTTAGATATAACATGACTTTACATTCCCATCTTAGTACAGAAGGAACTGACTTAGTCAGATAATTCACATCCTAGTTCAGAAGGAACTGACTTAGTTAGATATAACATGACTCTACATTCACATCCTAGTTCAGAAGGAACTGACTTAGTCAGATAATTCACATCCTAGTTCAGAAGGAACTGACTTAGTTAGATATAACATGACTCTACATTCACATCCTTGTTCAGAAGGAACTGACTTAGTCAGATATAACATGACTCTACATTCACATCCTAGTTCAGAAGGAACTTACTTAGTCAGATATAACATGACTATACATTCACATCCTAGTTCAGAAGGAACTGACTTAGTCAGATATAACATCACTCTACGTTCACGTCCTAGTTCAGAAGGAACTGACTTAGTCAGATATAACATGACTTTACATTCCCATCCTAGTTCAGAAGGAACTGACTAAGTCTGAATTATTTTGATGTTCTATCAACTATGTAGGTCTGGAGTCGATGAACTCCTGACTGATATAAATAAGTTGATAAAATATCAGGAGGATTTTGACAAGAACTCACCTGAACACAGGAAAAAATTTGTTGTTTTAAATAAGGAGAGTGTGAGGATAATGATAGGAATTAAATCAGTATGATAAATAAAGATATCTTCAACATTATGACAATTGTTTTAGGAATGAGGAAACCCTTAATGCATTATAAAGGCAGCATGAAGGGATAAACACATAATATTGGCACTATATATATTAGGGGTCTCTGGAACAAATTAATGGTCAAATTAGACATTCACAATGGAGTATTGAGAAAACATCTGGACATAATTGGAAATATACACTACATGTCCATTTAATCTCTAAAAATAGAATTTTACAGTGATTTCCCTTTAAAGAAGGATAACAAATCAGCTTTGAATAAAGTTATCTTATTTTATGGCCTGTTGGTTGTAGAGTATGCTAGCTGACTTCCGTGCACGAGGAGGAAGGATTGTCCTCAAGCCGACTTTGTCTGATACTGTCTCTGGTCCTAGAGATCCATTTGACCAGAGCAACAGGAATTGTTTAACTCAACAAAATAATACACGCGTATTAACCTCTGGGAAAAAAGACAGAAGGGTTTGTACATTTCAAATAATTCATTTTCAATTTTACAAATGTCTACTTGTGAATACTTTTCATGATTGAGAGAAAAATGCGTTTTGCTCTTATGAAATATTCAGCAAATATTTTTTTATTTCATTAGATGTTGATTAAACACAGACTGGTACTTATTGCAAACAGAAACTACAGAGAGGGGCCAGTTAAATGGTTTAGTTCCTGTAGAGCATGGTGAAATAGTTCATTAAGTACATGTTTTTTGTCACTTTAGGTTTTGTCCCTCCATTGAATGTTGATGTTCTGGCAATCTGCTAAGTACTTAGATATATGGTAGTTATATAGTCTTGTGTATTGACTAAAAGATGTAGCATCTTTCTGATGAATGAGTTCTGTTGCAGCGAGACTGTCTGGAGTTCCATCGACATCAACGATTGGCTGTTCTTCTCAGTAGTCACTCGGAAAAATCAGCCAATCATCCATTCCCCTGTCTACCTCCACAGTAAGTGTCCTCTCCCTGTTCTATATAAGTTTTCAATTTCACAGCGCTAAGTACTTTAAAATCATATATTTTCATGTAGTCCAGATTTCATGGATTTTTAGGTCATCTGACCGAAGGGTCTGATGACCTATTGCAATCGCCTTTTGTCCGGCAGCGTCCGTCGACTGTCATCCGCGTAAACATTTTCAACTTCTTCTCAAGTTCTACATGTCTCATTGAGCTGAAACTTACCTGAAATGATCGCGACATGATCCTGACCAAAGTATGTAAGTTTCGGGTTGGTCCGAAATCCAATATGCCCGCCGTGGCTGCCATCTTGAAAACACATTTTCAACTTCTTCTCAAGTTCAAAATTTGAAATCTTGTATTTTATGTCAGATGACAGTTAAGGTCCATGGGCCTCTTGTTAAGAAATATACATTTTAGCCGGCCCTTGATTTCCTGGATAAACTCAAACTCCACTGAAACTATAAACTAAAAGCATTTATCTCGGTATCACTTTGTGAACCTATAAATTTGTGGATTTCGACTCCCCAAAAATTAGGAAGAAAAACATTTTCTCTCAAAAACAAATGATTGTACAGTAGTTTATGTTTGTCATGGTCGTTACTAATTCATGAGGATTTGATTTCTCTTTTCTCTGCCTTCACAGTAAATAGAGAGACATGTCTTTATATTTGTATCAATGTTTACTTTTCGTAAGAATATATTTCACTGTAATTTATTTGCTTGTCAATCATTTTTACATTATCATCAATGGCCTTAAACACAGAAAAAATGAATTCCTGCCAATATCACCTACTACACTTCAGTATATGTCACATCACTCAAACTCAGTGTGATAAATCAGATTATTTCTCTATTTATGCAGCAAGAGACATCAGCAGTAAAAATCATTCCCATATAAGCCAACTTCCTGCTTTAAGTCTGAGGTTCACTCGTCTTATTTCAGGCTTTAGCTGGTTAGTGTCTGTATAATAAGATTATATTGACGAGTGTTTACATATGTAAGATACTGTAAATTCATATATTTTCATGGGGTTTAATTTTTGTGACTTTTAAAAAAAAACCGCTTGATTTCGTGGATAGATATGAATTTTTTTAATATGCTTATTTGAACAATTGATGGACACAAATTTATGGATTAAGAGAGCCCATGAAATTAACAAAAATAAATCCACCATGAAAATGATTGATTTTACAGTAGAAGAAATTCAAATTTCAGACACAACCTACAATATTGTCATGCTAGACCGCAAGAATTCATTCTGGTTTACAAATCCACCCATAGCTATATCAGTTAAACAGAAATTGTACCAATTTTGAGATCAGCCATGTACAAAAGATATGTAACTCCTAAATACTCCCCACACTGTTGTTATCCTTCAAATTAGAAAACTTGTAGGCCATGCCCACTATGACCAGTTTTAATCTTGGGTAAGCTAGGAGAAAATCTAATCACTTTACTTAAAAAAGCAGCATTCAGGCCTCCACACATCATGATGTTGCATGTATGGTTTCACTTCGACAAAGTCTTAATCACAGACAAGAATTTTATGCATCACAAAATTTCCTAGGAGAAACTTTTTCATTCTGAATTGACAAATTTAAACAATCATATGTAGTTTTAAGTGTATAAGAGGTGTAAAAGATATCGGAGTCCAGTACAACTTTAGGCATTAGATAGCTAATGAAGCAGAGAGACTGATACATAAAATACCAGTTTAAAATGTAAAATAAGTCACTCACTTACGCTGATTATTGAGATGTTGTCTGAGAGCCATTAGTTATTGAGGATGTATATACTGTCCAGGCATCGAGAAGAATTTAGATTATCAATGATATGAGTAATACATATTTGGGAACATTTTCTGCAGTTTGGTTATGTCAGTAGAATGTAAGTTCTATAACATAAGGAGTAGAAGATTAGAGTATGATGTTTCAATGTCTATGCTGTCACCTTCATCAGACAAATGACCAACATGAACGACCAGTATGAAGTCTATTAGCACTGACGTATGGAGTGTATGAGATGGCACTGAATTGACCCACTTTTTCACAAGTAGTAACATTACTTATATTCCACTGGTTTTGTTAAGAGAACTTCTGTTCTTATGATTAATCCACTGCTCTCCTGTACTCTTTGGCTCCTCTTTGTGGCAGTATCGCGTAAAGAAATCATATAAAAAATTTCTCTGTTATGTAGCTTTAATTGCTAAGAAAAGTGGTAATTTATGTTGCCAGTGTTTTAACCTGGTTCAACTCAACTAGATACATGTTTTAAATACTTTTCTTTAGTTTAAATGATTGAATATCAGCAGACTAAACGAGGTAAGTGATACAGACCCTAAAGGCCTCTTGTTTTCATATTCTCTAATAAGCCCACCTATTGACAATGAATCAGAGGCACTGTGTTAACTCCTTAGCATACTGAAGGATACATATTCCTTTGTTGTGATGTCCTTGTCATTTTTATCTAATAATAAGCCCTTGTCTTGTAATAAGCCCACCCTTATATCTGTTCTGTAGTATTTCTAATAGGCTGTTGTTCCCTGTGTTTGTCGCTGGATACCTAAATATGATATTTACGATAACAAGTATCCTTGCATTGTTGGGAGATAAGTACATCGTGTAATTTTAATATTCAATATACTTGACCAGGATTGTAACCATGGAGTTTTATGGTAACCAAGACATCACTTTAGGCGGATTCCTGGAGAAGTTCTGCTTTCGGTATGTATCATTTAGTCATTTCAAATTTTCACAACAAACAATCATATTCAAAAGATGTTTTAACACAAGCTGCTCAAAAGTTCATTAATTTTGGTTATTGATTTTTAAAAACTAACTGTTGAAGCACCAAGTCAAGTTTCAAAGAAGTAGAAGGTTTAGTCACTGTTCTGTAAAATCATCAATTTTTGTGGGGACATATTTTTGTCGATTTTGTGGGTACTTTTATGGTTTGCTATTACTCGGCTGCCAAGATGCAGATCCAAAAATAAGAAAAATATTTGTATCATTACTCTCACCAATAATGTTTTGCCCTGACCGACAAGTCTGAAATTAAGTGTGTGATCTCTCGTCTTAGAATATATTGATTGCTTTATTTTCAATATTAGAGAGTCCTACTCTCTCCAGCCGTATACCTGTCCCTCTGAGGCATGCGATGTCCCCATGTTGGACCATGTACGTAGGATTGTACACAACGGTGGTGCCATCTATATCTCACTGCGCAAGTTGAAGAACTGTGTCCCTGGAGGCGAGAGTGCCATTATGATGTGGAATTGGTGCAGAAAATGCAGACAGGTAGTTAGATAATAGCAAAATAATGTAACAGAGTATCTGTGGGATATCATATATGATTATATTTACGACAACAAGCCCTTTAGAATGCCCAATCATATCTAGATCTGTAGAACTTCCAACAAATAATATCTTAGGTCCTGTACTGTATAACTGGTAAAATTGGCAGGAAATTTAATTAAGAATTACGTGGTATACAGTATATGAATGCATATAGAAACTTGTTTATTTTACAACAACTACAAAGCAGCTTATTTCAACTTTTACAAATCACTCTTGTTGGCTTGGATGTAAGGGGTCTTATTGTGGGAGGAAACCAGAGATCTTGGGCCAAACCCAAGAGGACCGGCAGGTGACCCTTACCTTTTCACATCCGTTCCCAGAATCAAACTCCAGACGGCTAGGTGAACGGCTTGTGTATTACCACTGTGCCACTCAAAACCATAAGCTCACTTTGAGTAATGTATTGACCTTCCTACTGATAGCAATATAACTATAGTTGGTTATAATAATCTTCTGGTCGTCCGGGATGACCTTTTTGACCTCTGTGACTTGATCTATCATTTCAGGCCACACCGCTGATGCCGATGAGCCAGGACACGTGGAATATTTCCTTTGCTAAGTACCTAGAGCTTCACTTCTATGGTAATAGTTTCATGCGCCGAGTGAAGTCAGAGACCTGTACACATTCGTTACATCAAACTTTCAGCCAGTACTTTGGACACAAAAATATTGTAGCAACTTTTAAGTACGTATATTTTTTTATATTTTGAATGAATATAATGCCCTTCTCATCAATCCCCTGCATACCCTAGGGTATCCAGGCAGGAGGCAAATAACCTGCAGACCTCTATTAAATACAACAGCGGCGTTGGCTCTATCCTTTACTCATTAATGCTGTAATACATGCAGGGATTTAAATTTGCTTTTATTGTGATCAGTAAAAACAAAAGTGAATAGCTAGCAGTCATTTCTACAGTGAATGTAAATTTCAGAAAATATCAGTTATGCCAGTATACACCAGTTCATAGATTTGTGCAAAATTAATACCCACTAAGCAGCCAATACAGAGACATCCATAAAATATCAGGACACAAAATTAAGTAACTTCCATTAATTCCAAACTTCATGCAGGGCCTTACATAAAAGACATCTATCAGGCAAGAAGTTCCTAGGTACCATGATTAGCTGTAGATAGGTCTACCTCACTATAACCTAGTTTATGTCTGTAGGTACTGAGGTTAGTTCACTATAACCTGGTTTATGTCTGTAGGTATTATGGTATCTCAAAGCTGGAGATAGCTCTACCTCACTCTGTCATTAACTTGGAGACCGGATCCTACCAGCAACATTTTACACGACTTAGGGAGGAGACCAAGCTTCTGGTCAGCAGGTAATTATAGATATTTATGATATGAAATGTGTGTACAGATTTTGTTTGTTGTAAAAAGTCAGAGCACCATTCATTGTTGCTAGGTAATGTTGATTCATATATATTTTTGTAATTCTATGTTACTATGGAACCAAACCTAGTTAGGCAGGTGACATTAAAAATAGACCCAGATGCACCTAGAAGAGACACTCGGTCAGTGTAAGGGTTACTTCCTACTTAGTGATGATATATTTAGGATGTAAAATTTTAAGTTTGATTTTAACGACGGGAAAGATATTCTACATGGCTTGTGTACTGCTGCATGCTTAATTGCAAGAAATGAAAACAAAAGTTTGGAAAGCCTACTGCAAAACTTACAAGACTGTCTTATAAATGGCAGCAGAGGTAAGGAAATGTGATCTGTGAGATGTGATATAGATACCTGTATATATCTGGTCAGGACCCTACCTTATAGTATAAAGACAAATTCATGACTTTCTGCATCAAAGCCAGTGTGCAGTGATTGATGTTTAAAAGACTGGCTGAATATTGTAATGCACTACATGTTTATCATCAATGGGCTTCATTTGTGATGATACTTTCATGAACTATTTTTATTGCAAATTTCATGAAAAATAATTTCATGAATGAAAGTTGGTTAACAGTAGCCTTTGGCTGTCATTAGGGCATCCTGGATAGTCCACGGGTTACGATTGCTACCACTCTCTGGAACCCAGTGTACTCTGAGGGTTATGATCACTATCACTATCTGGAACCCAGGGTACTCTGGGGGTTACAATCACTATCAATTTCTGGAACCTAGGGTACTCTAGGGGTTACAATCATTATCACTCTCTGGAACCCAGGGTACTCTTGGGGTTACAATCACTCTCACCCTCTGGAACCTAGGGTACTCTAGGGGTTACAATCACTCTCACCCTCTGGAACCTAGGGTACTCTTGGGGTTACAATCACTATCACTCTCTGGAACCTAGGGTACTCTAGGGGTTACAATCACTATCACTCTCTGGAACCTAGGGTACTCTAGGCGTTACAATCACTATCACTCTCTGGAACCTAGGGTACTCTAGGCGTTACAATCACTATCACTCTCTGGAACCCAGGGTACTCTTGGGGTTACAATCACTATCACTCTCTGGAACCTAGGGTACTCTAGGGGTTACAATCACTATCACTCTCTGGAACCCAGGGTACTCTGGGGGTTACAATCACTATCACTCTCTGGAACCTAGGGTACTCTAGGCGTTACAATCATTATCACTCTCTGGAACCTAGGGTACTCTTGGGGTTACAATCACTATCACTCTCTGGAACCTAGGGTACTCTAGGGGTTACAATCATTATCACTCTCTGGAACCTAGGGTACTCTAGGGGTTACAATCACTATCACTCTCTGGAACCTAGGGTACTCTAGGGGTTACAATCACTATCACTCTCTGGAACCTAGGGTACTCTAGGGGTCACTATCACCCTCTGGAACCTAGGGTACTCTAGGGGTTACAATCACTATCACTCTCTGGAACCTAGGGTACTCTAGGCGTTACGATCACTATCACTCTCTGGAACCCAGGGTACTCTAGGGGTTACAATCACCCTCTGGAACCTAGGGTACTCTAGGGGTTACAATCACTATCACTCTCTAGGGTAATCAAATTATCACTCTCTGGAACCTAGGGTACTCCGTTACAATCATTATCACTCTCTGGAACCTAGGGTACTCTTGGGGTTACAATCACTATCACTCTCTGGAACCCAGGGTACTCTAGGGGTTACAATCACTATCACTCTCTGGAACCCAGGGTATCAAAGATCACTCTCACCCTCTGGAAAGGCTTGGGGTTACAATCACTTACTCTCTAAGTAGGAATAGGCAAACTGCTAGGGATCAAAAACTATCACTCTCTAATCTGTTTCAGAGGGACATTACACTCTCTCAGTACTGTGTTAGAATCATGTAGGGTACTCTAGGACTCTCTGGAACCTAGGGTACTCTAGGGGAGAGCCAGAACCTAGGGAGCTTTTCACTCTCTGGAAGGGTACTGGGAGATTATCACTCTCTGGAACCTAGGGTACTAATCACTATCACTCTCTGGAACCTATAAACTGTATGACAATCACTCTCCTAGTTGAGGGGAATTTTATTGCTGGGGAAATGAACTCTCTGGAACCCAGGGTACTCTAGAGGTTACGATCACTATCACCCTCTGGAACCTAGGGTACTCCAGGGGTCAGCTCCAGTCTGATTGGGCAGAGTTTTTTCCTGAAACCCACTCTAGGCTAATCAAATTATTTTGCTTGTATCCTCATTTTCACTGTGAAATGTTCCGGGGGTGCAGAAAGAAAAAGTGACCTAACCCCTGGAGTATCAAAGATGTCTTTAGGAAGGCGGAATTTAACTGTCCCCCTACCAATCTGACTGAACCCCTATATTCCTGTAGGGGGTCACTAGCAAACTACATAACGAATTTATTGCACCAAGGACCCATTTAAATATATATATAATACGTCCCATCACATTTCCTGGCATCCATGTAAAAATGGCCAAGACATTCGTCCAGTCGGACTACATCGTAATCTTCAAAATCTGGGTTTTGCTGCTTTTCCACCAAATAATCTTTGAACACTTTAGCGGCCAACTTATTAGCTTTTAACGTCTTATCAGCGTTAAGTGCCAGGCGTTTTTTTTCCTTGTCTGCAGCTGTGGTCTGCCCGAACCGCCCAGCCATTTTTGATCCGAGTCAAATAGGTGCTTCGTGTAGGGGAAACAACTCGTACTAGATAATAGCAACTTCTAGGATTCACTCTAGCCAATATTCCGACACGGACAGAATGTGAATATCGCCAATCTGTGATTTGAAATTACGAAGTGACGCCTTTCAGAGATAATGGATGGCGGCCATTGCCCCCTATATATTCAGCTGCCCTCTATAGATTTATAGGGGGCAAGCAACGTCCAATCAGATCAATGCATTCTAGTCCGAGGTGCAATAAGTAGGAATAGGCAAACTGCTGATCAAAAACTATGATATAATCTGTTTCAGAGGGACAGACACCTTCAGTACTGTGTTAGAATATGTATTGAGGATTAATGCCGAGAGCCAGAATGAGCTTTTGTCACGAATGGTGGGAGATTACATAACAATGATACAGGTATAAACTGTAGTGACAATGAGCCTAGTTGAGAATTTTACTGCTGAAATGAATCTTGTTGAGAATTTTCCTACTATAATGAGCCCTGTTGAGAATTTTACTATTTTGATGAGCCCTGTTGAGAGTTTTACTGCTAAAATGAATCTTTTTGAGGGTTTTACTGCTAAAAAGAGCCCTGTTGAGAATTTAACTGTTTAAATGAGCCCTGTTGAGAATTTTCCTATTATAATGAGCCCTGTTGAGAGTTTTACTGCTAAAATGAATCTTGTTGAGAGTTTTACTGTTTTAATGAGCCCTGTTGAGAATTTTCCTACTATAATGAGTCCTGTTGAGAATTTTATTGCTATTATGAGCCCTGTTTAGAGTTTTACTATTTTAATGAGTCCTGTTGAGAATTTTATTGCTATAATGAGCCCTGTTTAGAATTTTGCTATCTTAATGAGCCTTATTGAGAATTTTACTTCTAAAATGAGCCTTGTTGAGAGTTTTACTGCTATAATGAGCCCTGTTGAGAATTTTACTATTTTAATGAGTCCTTTTGAGAATTTTACTGCTAAAATTAGCCCAGTTGAGAATTTTACTGCTAAAATGAGCCCTGAGGAGAATTGTACTGCTATAATGATTGTTTTGGTAGTGAAAAACATTATCTGTGTGTGGAAATAAGCCTCTCCAATGAAGAAAGTTTTCACTAATTTTTTAGAAATACAGTTTTTATGAAAAATAGAACCATACCTTCATGTTGATGTAATATTTAATGGATTAAACTCGCAAAAGGATTTTATATGAATTATTTTGATAGAGTGATAAGAGTGACATACACGACAAGGGACGCAGTATCTTGGACAAACTTCAAACATTGGAGAAAAGTCTCAATATCTGGGGTTCTACAGACATCAGACAGATAGGTAGGTACATTGGACAGATTGAGAACATAATCAGTTCATGAATTTATTTGTTCAAATATCTAAATGTAATGTGTCTCCCTCATGAAAAGAATTAAATGGCTAGGTGAGTGAATAGCCCTACAGGTATCTTGTTATCCCTAGAATGTAACGACTGGTTAATCTGTCTGTTGTAGACAAAGTGGGAGGATTTTACTTGTTACAGGATGACCTTGTCAGGATCAAGAGGTCATACTCAGACTCGATCACCAACTGGAACATCAAGTAAGAAATTCTTTGTATTTGTTGTGTACGGAACAAGTGCACAACGCAAAAAATAGGGAAGAGAGAATTCTTTATTTTTCTTTCCTTGTAATCGTTACTTCGTAGATAATTAAGATGGCGACCAGGATCTCGGCCTGGTGGTAATGACATTTATTTCATCGGAACCTAAATCGGTACAAAATCACCAATATTGTGATATTTCCCTTTAATTATATTCATCTTTATTATCCTCGATAGCCAAGTGGTCAAGGTGTCTGACCACCCTTTTTTCGGTTGCCTTCCGCCTCTTTGTCACGGGTTCACGGCCTGTGTGGGGCAGTCACCAGGTATTGTCCATAGGTCAGTGATTTCTCATCCATAAAATCTTACTTTCTCCCACCTCTCAAACCTGGCAGGTCTTTAAATGACATCGGCTGTTAAAAGGACGTAAATCAACAATAAACAAAACCTTGTTATAAGCCTAATGTAAGCTAATTTTGTTAAGTTAAAAAAACTTCCGTTAACTTTGTTTTAAAATAGTTTGAGAAATAAGCTATTGGCTGTGATATATTAAACTGAGTATTACTGTGGAAGGAGATAAGAGCATCTGATTAATTAGGTAACCCCATACTTTTTGTCTGATTTGAGAATCAAACCCTCATCTTTGAGGTGTAACACTGTGTCACCTGATCACCTGGTGCCATGTGACTGAATGTGAAAGGCGACTGTGTCACCTGATCACCTGGTGCCATGTGAGTGAATGTGAAAGGCGATTGTGTTACATCTGTCACCTGATCACCTGGTGCCATGTGACTGAATGTGAAAGGCGACTGTGTCACCTGATCACCTGGTGCCATGTGACTGAATGTGAAAGGCGACTGTGTCACCTGATCACCTGGTGCCATGTGAGTGAATGTGAAAGGCGATTGTGTTACATCTGTCACCTGATCACCTGGTGCCATGTGACTGAATGTGAAAGGCGACTGTGTCACCTGATCACCTGGTGCCATGTGACTGAATGTGAAAGGCGACTTTGTCACCTGATCACCTGGTGCCATGTGAGTGAATGTGAAAGGCGATTGTGTTACATCTGTCACCTGATGACCTGGTGCCATGTGACTGAATGTGAAAGGCGACTGTGTCACCTGATCACCTGGTGCCATGTGACTGAATGTGAAAGGCGACTGTGTCACCTGATCACCTGGTGCCATGTGAGTGAATGTGAAAGGCGATTGTGTTACATCTGTCACCTGATCACCTGGTGCCATGTGACTGAATGTGAAAGGCGACTGTGTCACCTGATCACCTGGTGCCATGTGACTGAATGTGAAAGGCGACTTTGTCACCTGATCACCTGGTGCCATGTGAGTGAATGTGAAAGGCGATTGTGTTACATCTGTCACCTGATCACCTGGTGCCATGAGACTGAATGTTACATTGTATCACCTAATTCCTTGTTGTCATGTGACTGTCTGTTCATGTTGGAAATACTGGGCATCTGTTTAAGGTGAATATTGATTCATCAAACATATATTACTGGTCATTTTCACCACATCTAAATTTGGTGATTTTTTAAGAAAATGGTATGATGTTATTTTTGTGACACTTGTTATTCAAAATTTTAAAATTTTCTTTGGGGCAGTGAGCAAATAAAACAAGAAATTCATCTAGTTATTGAAACATAATATTTCATGCAGTGTATGTACATTATATATGCAATAAATTTATCTGTTATCATATATTTATGTGGAACTGTTTACCTTTAAGGTATGTATGAAGGGAGATTACTCCTGCATGTCATCCATTCATGTATATTTAGCAAATTCATTTTTTGTGTTAGAAAGTTATAGCAAATAAAGCGAAAATTGCAAAAATGCGAAAAAAAACCCCAATTATACAGTATTTAACCAGTCATATTCATTTTTTGAAATAATCCCAAGCATATCTTTTACAGTTATACTAAAACATACTGTATCAGTGTCATAATCTTATCCCCTACTTTAAGATGGAGTTACATGATGGTCCCTTGGGCTTATTCCAGATGAAATAATCTGACAATGTATTTCCAGGCTACAAGAACTGTATTCCCAACACAAGAAAAGACAAATGGTCCTCACCAAGAAGGAGCGGGAGATGAACACACTTATAGGCGATGAAGTTTGTATCTCTAAAATTCATTTTTAATTTATCATTTTATTCAAACGAATCCTTGTGATCCGTTATCCTGTGAATTGAACCTTCCAGATTGACAACTCCTATAAACCAAAGAGAGACTCCCTCAATCGGTGTTTATACCAAATTCCTTTCAAAATGTGGAATATCGGATGTGAGAGACTTTGTTTAAAGCGTTTCCAAATTTTCACAATATCTTTAATCAATGTGAGAAATTTTGCTTAGTGTTATAAAAGTATTGGGAAGAAGATAGTAAAATACCCTCACAGAATCAAGGAATATTATTAGTCATTATAATAGTGATTATTGATTTTTCAGAGTTCACTAGCTAAGTATCCAAAAACAAGCTCGGCATCAGAAGATGGGAGTTATCCCGGCACGGCCAGCCTAGTTGTTGCCATGGAAACAAAACCCTCTGGTAATGGAGGCACTGGAAGATCTAGGCCGTTGACAAGTTCTCATGGTAGGCTGTTTGAGATAATTGAATTCTTATCTGTACCCTACTTTTGCATCAGTGTTAATAGTGTTGTACATAAAATAAGCAGAAAATGTCATCTCCATGAAAACGAAGGTTGTATTTATCGTCCTGGTCAATAATTAAGTTCCACATATCTTACTGTGATGTGTGATTGTTAACTAGACCTGTATACACTACATAACACAGTGACTGGTCCTTTCAATGAGTCACATGACCTCGAAATGAAGCAACTATTTTCATCAGTGCAACATTTTCCAGCAATATCACACAACCTGATTCTTTTTAGTCTCGGTAAATTATTGAATATCATACACAACTATATGTAAGAGAAGTTGTAACTTGTTGTAGATGTGCTGTTATTAACATAATGATCAGTCAGATTTCTGATAAAGGCACATTATCTACTGAATATACAAAAATTCACACAAAAACTTGAGAATTTTAAAACTGTTAATTATATTAAATGTGGTTACCATTTAAGTGTTCTGTTGAGTAACACGTTTGGAAAAAGATTGCCCCAGCACATTTTTCAAAGTAGTATTATTGCGGCTCCCTATTTTTGAACTCTTCATGTTTTGATGTACTTCATGGCAACAGTGATGAATAATTAGAACACGAAATAAGTAGAGCAATATACATATGCTATCTATTGATGAGGTATTTTGTCAGTACAGAAATAATTAAATTTTTTTTCTCTTAATTTTTAAAAAAAAATTCCTTTCTATGATATAGTTGTTTAAATTCGTGGGACTAATATTTCATGGTTGTGATACAGTTTTGGATCATTAACAGGGATTAGATTTTGTGTATGTCAGTACATTGATATAAATGTATTAAGGCATATGACATAGATTTCCTTATATTTTTTATTCATTGTTAAGAGTTTACTTGGTAGTTTATTTCATGCTGTCTTTACTGACTGCAAATACAGCGAAATTATATCCCCCACAAATATTACTAACTATACAGTATGAAGTACTTGTGAGATAAGTTTCCATGACGGCTTATGTTGGTGGAGATGTTTAAAAACTACGAGCAATAGAACTTTGTGTTTTGTTGGTAATTTACCTTGATATTGATCCTTAATGCTAAATTTTTGTTTATGTTTGGTATTATATCATAGTATCAACATTATCATTATGAATGGCACCTCAAAACATACAGAAAGACACTGAAAACCAAGAAAATAAACTGACATATCTGTAACTACATACTACAAATGACCATTGTAAACAATGTGACATCACGACCTCAAGGAACTGACACAGTTCCATCCTGCCTCACAACCTTAAGGAACTAGTACAGTTCCATCCTGCCCCACGACCTTAAAGTGTACCCTGAGAGTAATTTTGTATTTAGATATAATGTTAAGAATGCCGTAAAAATAATAATAATGAAAACCCCGTCAAAATCCGTCGCCTCAGTGTCGAGTTATTAAAGCTCAAAGTTGTCGGTTTTCACCTGTCCGCCCAGACCTAATCAGCCGAATCGTCATTTCTGCGGAATCGAGGCTCTTCAACTCGTGACGTCATAAGTTCAACAGAAATGGCAGTCAACATGACTGACAGTGACAACGACACCGCAACTGAGAGCGATTTGAGCATGAGTTTTGAGGAGTCTGATTATGGTGTGAATGATATGTCTGAAGACGGAATCCAGCCCTACCGATTTGAACTGGAATTACAAGACGATGTATCCAGTGAGGAGGAAAATGACCCTTCGAAAAGTGACGATCGCTTGGGCAACATAGATTGGCACGTACTTCACTGGGTCTCACCAGTAGTCGTGAAAGTAGTCGAACAGTGAATCGTCGTTTCAAAGAAACAAAATAAAATTGGGTGTGGTTTTGGACTAATTTTACTATCTTCAAGTCTGGATCAACAATTTCTGACGTCGGGAAATCGCGTTTGTGCAAGACTATGCATACATTCACGAGGTGTCGGAAATTTTCTTACCGAAGAAGTTTCGTCCGAGGGGAATTTTTCCTTCCTGGGAATTTTCGTAGCACTATGGATATATATAGATAGGGTGTCAACAACCAATTATAACACCCTCCGCTGTGTTAATAATAAAAATTTGATGTTTTAGAAGTTTAAACAATTATTTGACTGGTTTTTACCCTAGCACTGGTACGCGTCTGTTGTTAGCCGACAGGCGTGTCGCCTCACAGGTGTCACAATTGTTTTTTCCAGCCACAGAGGTGCTAATTACCTAACCTGGCACAGGTGTGATTATGAGTTTAGATGACATCTCTACACTGTGAACTGTGTTTTCAAATCAAGATTGGTCATCTTTAATAACTAAACAACATCGTCGGCTGGAAGATCTAAAAACCAAATACAAATACAAACAACATACACACATAACCTATTCTATAAATTCTAATAATTCTATTCTATACAATAGTAGTATGAAAATTCTCGGGGTGAAAATTTCCGTGACCCATTCACGACTAGGCCTTCTCCGAGTATTAGGCGTTCACGATTACGAAGGAATAATATTCCTATGACCGCCCAAGTCATAGGCTAGCCTATCAATTTAAAATGTTTAGTTGTAGAATTAATAACAAAATATCAACCTAACAAATATACTTTTATTTAATCAACAATCAGTTTTATTTATCGACGTCATGCATCGAAACCCCATCCGTGTTAGTGTTAGGACAAGCATACACACCGCTTCCCTCCTCGATAGGAAGCCATTTTAGCGGATTTAAGCGCTAATTCACCGACCCCTCGTTCACTACCTTAGATATTGCGAAGATGTGAAGTACTTTCACGTAAATAAACAAAGAAATTACCGCGGAAAATCCCAAAATAGATCACAATCACATGTAGCACAGTAAAGAGAATATGGCTGCATCAACAAAAGCGTTGAACTTATGACGTCACAGGTTTGGGTGCCCGAAAACGAGGTCAACGCCTCTCAGCCAAAGGTGTGTTTTTCAGAAAAGTCGCAATTTCTCAGTAACGGAACATTCCACGGCATTCGCGTTTTCGGCATAGTGTATTTTATGTGCAGAATTATTTTTCAAGGTCAACATAGCTGACCTCTCAGGGTACACTTTAAGGAACTGGTACAGTTCCATCCTGCCCCACGACCTTAAGGAACTGGCACAGTTCCATCCAGCCTCACGACCTTAAGGAACTGGTGCAGTTCCATCCTGCCAAACAACCTTAAGGAACTGGCATAGTTCCATCCTGTCCCATGACCTGAAGGAACTGGCACAGTTCCATCCTGCCCCACGACCTAAAGGAACTGGTGCATTTCCATTCTGCCCCAAGACCTGAAGGAACTGGAATAGTTCCATCCTGCCCCATGACCTTAAGGAACTAGCACAGTTCCAACCTGTCCCATGACCTGAAGGAACTGGCACAGTTCCATCCTGCCCCATGACCTTAAGGAACTGGCACAGTTCCAGCCTGCTCAACGACCTTAAGGAACTAGTGCAGTTCCATCCTGCTCCATGACCTTCAGGTACTGGCACAGTTCCATCCTGCCCCACGACCTTAAGGAACTGGCACAGTTCCATCCTGCTCAATGACCTTAAGGAAACGGTACAGTTCCATCCTGCTCAATGACCTTAAGGAAACGGTACAGTTCCATCCTGCCCCATGACCTTAAGGAACTGGCACAGTTCCATCCTGCTCAACGACCTTAAGGTACTGGTACAGTTCCATGCTGCCCAAGGACCTTAAGGAACTGGTGCAGTTCCATCCTGAAGTTAGTATCAAGTTTTCTTCATTTAGATATGATGATACTATCAAATTTGATATAATTTTTTCTTTTTTTCCAGCATCTTCAGAACCAGTTCCTATAGAAACCAATATTACTGAGACACGTGAGTAATTTGCACAACATAGTATAATGTAGCCTTTGGTGTGTGAGCCTATTCTTGAGACTAATATTGCTGAGACACACGGGTAGTTTGTATCACCAGGTTTAGTGTAGTTTGGTACTGTCTGTCTGTAGAAGCTATTATTACTCAGACAGAAAGGGTTGGATGTACCACAAGGTTTAGTGTAGTTTTTACTATCTGTCTCTAGAGACTAATGTAACAGAGACATAAGGGTGGGTTGTATCACCAGGTTTAGTGTAGTTTTTACTATCTGTCTCCAGAGACTAATGAAACAGAGACATAAGGGTGGGTTGTATCACCAGGTTTAGTGTAGTTTATTACCATCTTATTCTGGTCTTTCTCAGAGCCATCACTGTATGATATAGATAGAGCAGATTTGTGCCTTTAAAGTCTGTTTGCATATTGTTAAAAGTTTTGATTCAAATGTACTTGTCAGGGTCATTTCAGATAGGATTTTGTCTTTTACATTGGGGTTGTTTTTCGGTAAAGAGTGTTTCTGGAGTTTTAGACAGTTGAATCAGACAGAGTCAAAGTATTAACAGAAAATTACTGCACAATATCCTCAACTAGTCACTGTTTGTTATGTCATCATTTGTCAGAATTTGGTATTGGAAAATCAGTTTAATAGAGGTCAAATAAAGGTCAGTTTTATAGAGGTCAAATAGAGTTCAGTTTAATAGATGTCAAATAAAGGTCAGTTTAATAGATGTCAAATAGAGGTCAGTTTAATAGAGGTCAAATAGAGGTCAATTTAGTAGAGGTCAAATAGAGGTCAGTTTAGTAGAGTTCAAATAGAGGTCAGTTTAATAGAGAACAAAAAGAGGTCAGTTTAGTAGAGGTTAAATAAAGTTCAGTTTAATAGAGGTCAGTTTAATAGAGATCAAATAGAGGTCAGTTTAGAAGAGGTTAAATAGAGGTCAATTAAATAGAGGTCAGTTTAATAGAGGTCAAATTGTTGGCATATTTCATACAATGAAAGTTTGCCACAGGATCTAAGGAAACATGGTTAGAGATTATAACTATATTGACATTATATTGTTTCTCTTTTTTTACTTTTCCTTGACTACAGATATAATTCCAAATACAAAATAAAAATACTCGAAGAATTGTAAAAAAAATACTGAACTGAGGCATACTTTTCCTTACAATGTTACGTTCATATTTTAACAATATCTCTAAGAACATGAAATTAAACCTCACTTTTCCACTAATGTCATTATTTACAGAAGAGTGTGATGTTTTTATTGAGGAAAAGACAGGTGATTTTTTACTGGTTTCCTACCCTATATCTGGTGACCAAACAGGTACCAAGTTATCTCCCTTTATATCAATTTATTATGTACTCTGGCTTAGCTTGTCATATGCTTTTAAGAATCAAACTGCTTTATACTTAAAATGCCAATAGGTGCCAGATTCTGCTGAACTTAATTCTGGATTGAAGTTTTTGACATACATGAAGGGAACTAGATATATATTACATACAGGGTCTATAGAAATAGTGACTGTATATTATATTATAATTACCTATCCCTGGTTAGTCCAATATAGGACCTGGATCCAGGCAGCTACCAATTCTTCTTGTGTGTTTAATTTAATATAAATATTGAATTGGAGAAAAGTGACAGAGCAGAAAAAAATTTGCAAAAAGACAAAATTTTTATTTCCAATTTTTGTTTTATACCCCTCTGGTTTATATAGATATGAAATAGTTGATCCATTCAGGCCTAAATCTTCCTCTCACAGCAGGAAGTGATTGGCAGTATGAACTTGTATATTGATATAATACTGTGTTAGAGAGTAATCATCATCATCATCATCGTCTTCTTATTCTTCTAGAAAACAATGTATCATATGATGAGGCAGTGGTTTGATGGCACTGTTGTAACACACTTGTCTTTCACCTAGCCGTCCGGGGTTCGATTCCCAGAAGGGATACAGGTTTCCTCCAACAGTTAGACCCCTTGCATGCTTACAAGTGTAATTTTTTGAAGTTGAAATAATAAAGTTTCTATGTGTCTGAGAACTGGTCGGGAAAAAAATCTGAACTTTGAGATTTTGCCTATCTGTTTCTATAGTAACAGAAAATGGAAACTTTCCATAGCAAAAGATGTTTGTAAAAGATGTTGTAAAAAGTTTTGAGCAATCATCTTGAATGGTTTCAGAGCATTTGCCCAGAAAATCTGGAATTTGTGATGAGGGTTACCTGTTTCCATGGTAACAGTAAATGTATTAATAAAGTCTTTGACAACATATCTTTACTATAAAAATTGATAAAATCTTCAAAATATATGTACATGAGTTACTCTTTCAGAGTTACACAGAGATTGCAGAGAGTACTATCTAGTGAAATGAGTTTGTAGTCAAAATATGGTGAAAGACAATATAGTTTTAGTCGGATTTGCTAAGGCGGTGCTTATATGTTTAACAAGTTTTCATTATTAAAATCAGAATGTTCTCTTTCACCGTTTTCTTTTCTCTTTTCCATTGAGAGTTTTTGTTCTGTGTAACTAATCATAAAATGCTTTATAACCTTCAATTTGTCTCGGTAGAAAAAAGAGAATAAAGTTGTAAACTCTGCTGAGACTATTTTGTTATACATTGTAAATCAGAAAATCAATAGAAATATATATAATTAAATTTGTCGTGAAGAATTCTTATTAAATTTGCCTATATATTACATAAACTGCCTTTATCTGAAGAAACCCTCCCCCCCCTAAAAAAAAAACTCACCACTTGTTATCTTATTATTGTGCCTTATAAGTATTTGCAGGAAAATTTCTAAGCATTCAAATACTTATCATAATTAATTTCAAACAGTTATCAAAAGAACATCCCATCTTGCAGTTTTAATATAGTTAGGAGACGGGACAGGTTTTAGGCCAAATCTGGACCTTTCGGTTGCCTCCATGTAAGAGACATTGTATTTCTTATTTACGGAAAGTGACAAAAGTTCCCAAAGGTTAAATCGGAAATCAGGTTCGTAGGAGAACAGACGTACTCAAATCTTGAATGGTTAAAATTGTAATTTTCAACAAGATATTTGTTATGTGCATGTGAAACCATTAAAGTATGTGTTTGTTAAATTTATTTGAATTATTTATGATTTTATTTCCACATGAAAATCTTGAAAAGATATTTTATTGGTCAACTGTTCTCATTGCGTGCTGTTGTAAGTGTATTGTAGATAACTAAGTTCCAGCCAAACTTTCTTTTAAAGTTGATCATGTGGGCACCTTAAGCTTGCTGAATATAAATTATCACAACATCATAAAGCGCTTGCTGTGCTCACTGATATATAAAAGTCCATTTTTTCTTAATGATACTGGGTGTTATGTCAACACTAACTCAATGTAATGTGAGATTGACAATTTTTTAAACATTAAACTGTCTGATCTTATGGAATATCTTGAATTAAACTGTCGGATCTTGTGGGTTTTCATGATTAAACTGTCTGATCTTGTGGGTTTTCATGATTAAACTGTCTGATCTTGTGGGTTTTCATGATTAAACTGTCTGATCTTGTGGGTTTTCATGATTAAACTGTCTGATCTTGTGGGTTTTCATGATTAAACTGTCTGATCTTGTGGGTTTTTATGATTAAACTGACTGATCTTGTGGGTTTTAATGATTAAACTGATCTTGTGGGTTTTCATGATTAAACTGTCTGATCTTGTGGGTTTTCATGACTAAAATGTCTGATCTTGTGGGTTTTTATGATTAAACTGTCAGATCTTGTGGGTTTTTATGATTAAACTGTCTGATCTGTTGGGTTTTTATGATTAAACTGTCTGATCTTGTGGGTTTTTATGATTAAACTGTCTGATCTTGTGGGTTTTTATGATTAAACTGTCTGATCTGTTGGGTTTTTATGATTAAACTGTCTGATCTTGTGGGTTTTTATGATTAAACTGTCTGATCTTGTGGGTTTTTATGATTAAACTGTCTGATCTGTTGGGTTTTTATGATTAAACTGTCAGATCTTGTGGGTTTTCATGATTAAACTGTCTGATCTTGTGGGTTTTTATGATTAAACTGTCTGATCTTGTGGGTTTTTATGATTAAACTGTCTGATCTGTTGGGTTTTTATGATTAAACTGTCTGATCTTGTGGGTTTTTATGATTAAACTATCAGATCTGTTGGGTTTTTATGATTAAACTGTCTGATCTTGTGGGTTTTTATGATTAAACTGTCTGATCTTGTGGGTTTTCATGATTAAACTGTCTGATCTGTTGGGTTTTTATGATTAAACTGTCTGATCTTGTGGGTTTTCATGATTAAACTGT